TGATTTATACATTATTATTTTGGAATATAAATCCAACTTCAAGGTAGGATTATATACTTCTATATCTAAATGCCAAGTTCATTTTTAGACTAATTTTTACATTAGATAACAACATAGACAATCAAACTTATCCTATGAATTAGTATTTTTTATCATAGAAATAATAAAATTTTATTTTTTATAAAGTTACTAATTACAATAAAATAATAAGATATGCATATGTAGATGATGTAACAGAATTAATTATGCATAGTTATTAATTAAGACATGCATAAAGAAATAAAAATTAATCGATCAATCAAAAGATATTAAAAGTATTTTACTTTTTAGAAGACTCTTTATACTTTATATAAAAATATCATAGACTATTCAATGAGTTTTGGAAATTCTCAAAAAAAAAACTTTCATATGATCTAATTATGATAATATTAACAAGAATGCAAGGCTAAAGAAGAAGAAGAAGAAGAAAATATATATATATATATATATATATATAGCCTTGAAAAATAATAAATAAATCATAAAAGTAAGACATGAAAAGGAATGAGAGACTATAAATGTACTTTATCATGAAAATTCAAGTGGCCAATCCAGTCTTTTAACGACCCATTCCATCAAGAACAACAAATAATATCACATCCCTGACCGATGATTTCATCCAGATAAGGTGGATGAGATTCAGAAGCCATCCACGAAGGCATTCATCCAATATGTCTAATCACGAGGTCAATTGGCTCCTTTGACCGCGGCGTGTGTCGGGCTAGGACGGGTCCAAAAAGAGTAGAGCCCCACCCCCCCATGCGGACCCGTTCCCCTCAGCCCGCAATTTCACAATCCAAAGGGGACCCGAAGCACGGACTTGCACAGTCAGCAGTGACCTGGAATGGCGGGGCCGGCCTCTCATCCAGAACTTGTTTGTACAAAAAAGCAAGTGAGATTTTTTATTTGTTCTGAGCCTCGGCATCCCACTACCTTGTCGGATGGATGTTGTCTTTTTTGACTTGGGAACATTCACCGAAAATCACTTCGAGAATTACACAGAAATTCTCGACTGGACAAAGGATGAGGTGTCGGTATATGCTGACGCCACATGATCCGTTTTGGTCTAGCTGGCCTTCGGATGTCCGTGGATTCCGATAGTCCTAGAAGCTCGAACCGTGAGTTGGTGTGGTGACGTGTTAGGCAGCCTACTTAGCCTGTGTAAGCACTTTCACTATTGTATTAACGACAGGAAGCATGGGATCCGGTTATTTTTTAATTCATTAGCTCTTGTCAAACCTACTATGCATGACTTGGGATTCTCAACAATCGCTGTGTTGTAAAGCAACTTTTTTCTTTGCAATGATCAACTTTTTCCTTGGATCTACCTTCATTAAAAACATTCCTTCAACATATGTACATCCCAGTTTATATATGTATATATATACTTGGTTTCTTGAGACAGAAATTCTCCAAATTATTATCACTTGAAGAGTCCCACAATCTAAAACCTCAAAGAAAAATATGGATTGGTTGTAATTACCTAATTGTTTCTTAATTTTCCTTGATCCAGTTTTATAGTCCTTCTGTAGTAAAGAAAATAAATAAATGAATAAACCCTTGCCCTGATTCCAAATCCATGGCCTTGCCCCAACAATATTTCTTCCTTCTCTATACCATGCTTGGTGTGCTTTTTTTATTTATTTATTTGAAATCATTTCCTAAATAAATAAATGACATGTTAGCACTGAGTGGTACTTAAGAATCAATATGATATATTTTAAAATATGTGTTTTTTAGTCATTTAATATCATATTGCACAAACATAAAAAAATTCATCATCTTATTAAAATTAATAATTGGTCAAATAATTAATTCTCCAAAAAAAAACTTATGAAAGAACAAGAATATTGTTGGCAGAAATCTTTGATCTTAATAGTTTTCCCAATTGGGTTAAAGTAAAAACAAACCTAAATGTGTATCAAGTCTATATAAACAAAACTTCTAACTTTCTTACTAGGTGTCAATGGGAGAGCCTTTCATGTCCAAATACCAATGCCTAATAAAGCTCCATCTTCCACAACAAGACAGCAACAAAAACTTCCAAAAATGTGAAGAGAATTATCAACTCATAGGGCCCATGGCCAACATTCACTGCCCAATTTTTGGACCTAAGTTCTTTGATTGCCATGTACATGCCTTTCTAATCCATGCATTGGGCTTGCCTTGATTGTGTCAATAAAACAAAACAAAAAATAAATAAAACAAAAAAAAACAAAAACCAGCTCATATATTCATATTTGTATGCCAAACACATGCATATTGCAAAAACAAATGGCTATAAAAATGGCTGTAATCTTTTCTTCTTCATCATCTTAAAATTTCTATTAGCTAGTCAAAAAAGTTGTCGTGTTGTGGTTTGGCTATCATGTGAAAATAATGTGATTATGTATTTAACAACATGGTGAGAGCCATGTTATTGGATTTTAGTTGGTTGTAGAATGTGGTTAAATTACTACTTTAAAAAGAGGTTATTTAAAAGGATTATTAATAGAATTTGTACAACTTTATTTTCTTTTGATAATGGCTTTTGAGATTGATTTTATTGGTAGTAACTTTAAATATTTAGAATCACCTTTACTAGACATTGGTGACCATTGAAGTTTTACTTTGGTTCTTTAATTTGGTGTTGAGGGCATATATTGATTAAATCTTGTAAAGAAAAGAGTTGGAGAAGGATTTTGGTAGTAAAAAGAGAGTTTAGAGCATCCATATAGATGAATGGAGATGGATGATAAAAATCTCCATTCCTATTGGTCAAAAATCATAACCAATAGGCTTTGAGGAGGCTGCCCGAGGCCATATTAGAGATTAGGATTAGTTTTTCAAGACCATTCGAGCTTTGAAGGCTAGGATCAGCAAGTTTAGGGTTTTGGCTATGGTTTTGGTGCAAATCTTGTACGATTTAGAGTTTATATGAAGGAGATATAGACGCTCAAAGTTAAGGTGTTGATTTGGGAGCTACTGTCACTATTTTTGACATAACGTACATGTATGGAGGGCAATTGATTGGCGACCACGATTAGAGAGAACACTTTTGCGGCTAAACTTTTTGCATACTGCTTGCTGGATTCTAAGTTGAAGTAAAGGAGTTATTGGATTTTGAAGTCAGCGCATGCAATCTAAGGGTAGCAAGTGATTCGATTTACTAGTGGTTGTGACTTGAGCTATATCTTGAGCAGTTTGACAAGGTTTTGGCTCAAAATTTTAGGGAATGTGTAAATTCATGTTAGTAAACTTTATACATGAGTTTGATAACATTTGAGTTTTGGATTCTTCAGATATTAAGAGAATAGTGCTCAAGTGCTTGTAAATTAGGGTTTAGAGCATTTGCTAGGGTTTCTTAGATGCCAAAAGATCAAGAGTGAATTCGTAGTTGGTTTTTTTTGTGGTTAAAATTAAGAGAGAATTCTACCTATTCTATAAATTTGAGACAAATTGAACAGCTAGATCAAGAGTTATGAATTTCTAAAGTTCAAGAAGAGAAAATCTTTCGCAGATAAAAATATGTTTTGAAGGGATTTTATTATATTTTGAGTTTTATGCAAATTAAAGGAGTTTTGGAAGCTAAGACAAGATTCATATAAAGGTTTAAGCTAAACTCTCTACTACTAGATACCCAGTGTATTCCTAGATAGCAAATCACACTATATGATAATGCTTCTTTATGTTACTTGCTTATTTAATTAGGCAACCTACATCATTTTTTATATTTTATTTTTTGTTGTATGAAAATGTAGACAAAAAAATTCCATCAACATTTAGGAAAAAAATCTCATCATTCTTAACATAATGTACACGAATGAGCAACTTTCACCCTCATTTGATTGATTTGAATACATACATACATGCATGCATGTATTCATTCATACATAGACATATTAATATTAATGCTTTTAAACTAACTATACTTTGAATGAATGCTTACATTCCATAAGATTCCCAGTGACAAAAATGATATTTTGATGTGCCTTTTCTTTATGATAATTTCTAAGATAGTGATGCATCCACTTACAGTATGTCTCTGAATGGATGTATCCTTGATATAAATAACCTTACTTTTCTATTCTTATTAGTTTTAAACCTGTCAGAAATACCCATATGTGAAAAAATATATTTTTCATTCTTATTTTATTCACTTGCTAGCTCACTTATCAGATAATTTGTCCCGAAATCCCATTAATATGTTTTCATATATATATATATATATATATATACACATATTATTTTATTTTATTTTATTTTCGTTTATTTCTATTCATTCATAATTAGTATTGTTACAATGTTTGGACTTATGCTGCATTTTGTTGAATAGAAAACCCACCATGGAAAACAGAATCCGCTCTAACAGGCCAAGACTTGCACCAGGTCCAAGATCGAACCATCAGGCATGATCAGGAAGGATGAAACTCCACTCCCCAAGAAAAACACATATCAGATGTTTGATATAGTTACTACACCTTTCAAAAGAAGGAAAGAAGGAAATCAAACAAACAAACAAACATATAAATATGAAAAATAAACATATCTATACAAGATATATATAAATATTCCCAACAAAAGATGAAACAGGATAAATTAAGTTTGCACGTGAAATGGTGCTGACCAGGCAGAAACATGACTAGCCGGGATCAAATTTATTAAGATCCACGAGGCCCCTCCGAAGCGGACACGTAACTAAACAAATCGTTTGTTCGCATAGCGTCGGATCCTGCATCCCACACGACCCAAGATTCCCCGCACGACAGCAGAAGGCGATCAGGTCAGGGTGAGATCTGGGTGAGATACCAGTGTGAGATCCATACGAAATAAGGGTGAGATCGTTTTGAGGTCCGGATGAGTTCCCCATGAGATCCGGTTGGGGAGGGTCGGGTAAAGGAGGGTATCAAGGCGGGGAACGGCGAGGAGGCCCAGCAGGATTGCTTGCTTGGTTTCTTGCGGGGAGTGCGTTAGTGAGAGAGAGAGTCCAGTGTCGCAATGCGGCGATTGAAGGTTCCGAATCCGAGGGAAAAGGGGAGCGTGGCTGCGGATGCCGCCACCACATTGACCGATTCCTAATTTACATTCGCATGTGAAAGCTCCCCCCAATCCCATGGCTTTTTCCGGCTTGCGCAATTATTCCTCCTCCGACTCCTACTCGTAGTGGAGGATAGATAGTTGGGGCACTTGTACACATATGTGTCGTTTCTGCCTGAGATTCGAGCTGGGGAGATGCTGTGGCGATGAGGGTGGTGTAGTTTGGGTGTTGTCTCAACGGCGCTTTTAACTGATAGCCTGGGTGCGAGACGATTCAATTGGTGTATTAATCCGTTGGCTTCTTCAAGTGTCCGAAACTCGGGAGGAGTTCAATTGACTTAGTGCCTAACCAGCTGAAGTGTGAGATTTTGTGTGTGTTTCAGTGAAATAACGAGTGTAGTGTGTTAGCAGAAGCTTGTATTCCTGGTTTAGAATTGGTTACTTGTTCGCAAATTTCTCTGGGTTTTTCCGAGCCTCCTTCTCTTGTCCTGTTATTGGTGGGAGATAAGCAAAGGACATTTGTTGCTGAATCGCTTGAAGGTATAGGACTGCCCTTCTTCAACCTGGGAATTGGATGATCATAGTTGTCGTGATCGATTAGATCGCCGTGAGCGAGTTGTCTGTGATTCCCTTGTCTCAGTTTTATGAGGTGTTCCGTGTTCTGTAGGTAGCTTGGGAGGGTGTGGGACTGGATCGACACTTCAATTGTTATCGAGTATCTGCACAATTGGATTCATGCACGAAGTTGATTTTTCATCTTCGTTTTTGGATTGGGACTGTGCAGATGAATGCAAACAGATAATCAGCAGTTGAATCACCTTGGTGCCAGCAATCATGGGGAGTGCATGTTCTAGAAAGAATGATCAGAGTGATCTTGAAATTGATGATGAACTTTGCGGCCGCTCTGGAGGATCGAATCGTAGTTTCACTCTGCGATGGCCAGTAAGAAGAGCACAAGCTCTGGAATCTTTGGCATTCCGTCCGCATGGAGCACAGACGTCGCCATCCCTGCTCGAGATTTGTGTCCAGAACATCGTTAAGGTGCGGAATCTAAAATTCTGACCTTTTGATACGATAATCGGGGTTCTACCTTTTCTTTTTCTTTTCTTTTTTTCTGTTTTTCTTTTTTCTTTTTTTTTCACCCAGACGTTTGGCGTACGTAATCCTCTCACATAGGAGTTTAACTGAAAACCTTCAAAAACGTACGATTCATGATGAAGCTGGGTTTCATGAAATTGAAAAGTGAATCGGACTGAGGTTTACACATACAATACGCAACAGCGAACTTAAATCGTGATTTCTCGCTCCTTACAGAATATTGATAAGTACAAATCTTTTTCTGGAGTACCCCGGGACCTGATACAGCAAGTCTTGAACGATCTAGTCAGGAAGCAGCTTCTGTCTCCTGTAACACTGGAACTATTCTCTGACTGCGCGCTGCAGGTAAAGTTTTCTGCTTCCAAATTTTCGAATAAATACATACAGTTATTAATTGGGATTTGGTTCAGTTTAAGGTCTCATTCTAATGGGAGTTTATAAGGAAATTTCGAGGGTTAAATATGAGCCGCGTGGTCAGTATTGGTTGGTTTTGATCGCCTTGGAAACGTGCTGTTAATAGGAGCAACAAGCACGGTAGAGAGAATGTGCGTAACGTGTTGGATATTACTGCTTCATGATTGACAGAAAAATCTTTTATACATTGTGTCACTAACTCATCCTAGCTTCAGAGCTCTTTTTCGAGAAAGATTACAATATTTTACTTCAGATCTGGAACCGTGCAGTTGGCTTTTTCATTTAGGATGTGAGCTGGTTTGCGCAGGATGTTTTACTTGCAGACTACCCCGGAGTGGAGGATTTCTGGCTGGATATCATAGGCTCTCAGGGCGAGTCACTTCTAGCATTGGATATATCCGGCTCACCTGTTACGGATGATGGGTTAGCATGTCTTCAATCGTGTACCAACTTGCAGACCCTGAGTTTGAACTCCTGTGACCACATCTCAGATGAGGGTCTCAGTGTATTGTCAGGTACTGCTGGGACTTATTTGTTTCTCACTGCCACATATATCCATAGTTTCCAATAGAGCCTCATATAAAGCATTTGGAGAACATGCTAGCTAGCTTTCTGTTTGTCCTGTCAGCCCTAATTTTTCTCTAATTTTCACTTCGATTCTGCACGCTTGACTTAGGGTTATCGAACCTCACAACGTTAAGCCTTCGCAGCAGTAATCTAATTACTGCAGCTGGAATGCGCAATTTCACAAATCTGGTCAGCCTCAAAAACCTCGACTTGGAACGATGCCCGCTTATTCATGGTGGTTTCGTCTATCTAAGAGGTGGGATTTTTTTGGGATTCCCAAGAGAACGGTTGTGCTCAGAGCAGAATTGAATTACTCAGCGTTTTGTATAAGCTCACGATGTTTGATACGCTTACCAGTGAACTCATCTCATCAGAGATGAATTCAACGAGACAAGTAGTTGGCAGTTTAAGGAAATAATCCTGACTCTTTGTTAAAGGTAACTTTGTGAACTGTGATTTCAAGCAGTCGAAACTTGTTATTGAATGGAAGCATTGCGTGTTGTTGCTAACCTGTGACGTGTTCCTGTTCGACATTATTGCCAGGCCTCACGACCTTGGAGAAGTTAAATGTTGGATGGTGCATTGGTGTCCGGAACGCAGATATCACGCATCTTGCCGGTACCCATCATTCAAGCACCTAGTTGATACTGATTCTGTACATTCAATCAAGGACACCATTTCTGTTTAGGTCCTTATGGTAGAATGCTCAGTCAATGTCCTTATTCATGAATATCAGGGATTGTGAACCTGAAGGAGCTTCAAATTTCTAGGAGCAAAGTAAATGACTCCGGTGTTGCATCTTTGAAAGGTGAGTATTTGCGCTGTTGTTTTTGTGGGACCTCACTTGGTTTAACCAGTTCAAAGACTTATTGAGGCCTTTTCAAACTGCTTCCAGTAAGTTTTTGAGATTCTTGTTCGTAATGTTCGTGGTAGCGAACGTTGAGATTATCCTGATTTGGAACCCCCATTTCTTTCTGGTAAACTTTGGATTTGTTCTCCCTCATGTTTAGTTTCATTTCTTGGCATGTGTGACTGATAGGAATGACCAACCTTCGGAGTCTCAGTATGGAAGGTTGCCCTATAACTGCTCAAAGCATGAAAACTATTGCTGGTAAGTCCGTCATTATCTGCTTAATCAGGCTTTCTGTTATTCTTGATGACATGAATTGCATGGTTTGTTTATCATTGCAGTGACTTCGCAGGTCTGACTACGCTATGTCATTTGAACATCAACTCTTGCTACTTACCTGACTCCGGATGCCAGAAGCTCGAAGGTTAGTCAGTTTGTTGGGATTCTTTTCCGTCAATTTGAATCATGTATTTTCTTTTTCTTTTTCTTTTTTTCTTTTTTTTATTCTTTTTTGTTGAACTAAAATGATGGTTTAGTGTAATGCTCAGATGCATTTTGAATTCATGGACTTCTAAGGTGAGAACAGTGAGAGTTGAAGGCGTGTTGCTAAATTTAGTGAGGCACATAGTGTGTACCAAATTTGTTTTGCTTTGGTTTTAATTCTGCTTCCTGAAGTGCAGGTCTCATCAATCTCCGCACTTTAAACTTGGGTTACAACGAACTCACAGATTCTGGCATGGTTTTTCTAAAAGGTGCTTTTGCAACTCATCTGTTTCTTCTTTTCATAATTTCTGCATTGGGGCAATTGATGGATTAGAATAAGCACCTAAGAAAAGGTGCTTTTCACCTGTCAGTATGATCTTACATGAACAGGAGGAAAACACAAAAAGAAAATGAACTACATCCAGTACACACAGTAGCTTTCAAGTATAATTGTTGCTGGTAATGTTTGTCAATGTCTGCATGAGGCTATGCAGTTACGAAAGCGTAGACCGTCTTGTCTTACGCAATCAAACTCTTCCTTTTTCGAACGTTGTTTTTGGATCCAATCTCGTATGAAAATCAATGATAGTCTAGGGGATCAAGATTGGTAACTCATTTGACTCAGCGAGTTGTTTAATTATACAGGATTGACCAACCTGGAGCGTTTGAATCTTGACTCATGCAAAGTCGGTGATGAAGGGATTAAGCATGTGAAAGGTGATACTTACGCTCTTCGGAAGCGCGAGTTCTGTAGTGCAATTTGTTTAACTTTTAGAGCTGTCAAACACCAGATGTTGAGTGGTGCGACTAACAAATGAATCAACGAAACATTTCATGCTTATTTCTCATTCATGGCCTGTATGTAGTTCACAGAGACGCAGCATAACCAATCAAGAATATCTAACTTAAACGTGTGTTGCGGTTGTTACAGGGCTTTTGAATCTGCGAATGCTTGATCTTTCAGACTCAGAAGTCGGGAACGTTGGTTTGCGCTTTCTTTCTGGTAATTTCCTAAACGGAAATTTTCTCCACAGTAATGCGTTTTACATTACTTTTTACGCATTATCTGAGCACTTCAAGTTTTTAGAGCCGATGTTTTAATCTTGTGAGAGAAAATATTCAAACTTTTTAAGGAGAATATTCTAGTCTGCATGTTTTATTCTTGTTTTGAGTTTTTTGGAAGCATTGCTGCTTTCGACTTCCGTATTCGATCTCCAAGATATGCGAGGTTTGAATCGTAGCTCTAGGTGTTGAGTTTAGTGCGTTGCGATGGATGCCAGGATTGAAGAAGCTGGAGATTTTGAATCTTTCCTTTACAGGAGGTGTTACGGATATTGGTCTGTCCACTATTGCTACTATCACGTCACTGACCTCTCTCAACCTGGACTCGAAGCAGATCACTGATACAGGCCTTGCTGCATTGACAGGTAAGGAATGTTAGAAATAGGCATCTGTCTATTGTTAGCGATGCCCACCTTTCTCGTGGTTTATTGTACTATTAGTTAGATTTATTGCGAGTTGGCTGCATGTTTCTGCAGGCTTGACTGGGCTGAAAAATTTGGACCTCTTTGGTGCCAAGATCACAGATTACGGCATGGCTCGCCTCCGACGTGAGATCACTTCCTCAAGTTCATTCCCATACTTGAGATGTTTTTGTGTTGCCAATTCTTCTGCCCTTCTTCTGAATTGCTGATTATTATAAGAAGCTGTTCTAATTATAAGTTCTTAACTGAGGTCTGCGTCTTGTCACCCTGGTGATGCGAGCAGATGCCTCTTTTGCTTGTTTTTGTGAGCGTTCGATTAGTTTTTAATTGATGGCTGCTCTAAGTTGCATACTTTCGAGTCGCTTATATCCAAACTTGACCGATGAATTCCTGTGTTTCAGATTTCAAGAATTTGCAGAGCTTGGAGCTTTGCGGTGGTGGTATCACAGATGTGGGAGTGAGCAGCATCAAGGATCTGACATTGCTCACCTCGCTTAACCTGTCACACAATTTGCGGCTCACAGATAGATCCCTTCAGTATCTTTCTGGTACACTTCTAATTCCATCTGATCCTGGCTGAAGAATTTTTAAAAATTCAATAGTCCAATGATGTATAAGTTTAAAACATTCTCAGACAGCATTTTTGTTAAGTAACTTTGTGATACGGCCGATGATGTAGGAATGGAAAATCTAGTATCTCTAAACGTGGCGAATTCCAAGGTAACAAACGCTGGTTTACAGCATCTTAGGCCATTGACAAAGTTGACCTCCTTAGCGTTGCAAGGTTGCAAGGTGACACGGACGGCAGTGGACCACCTTAAGGCTACCTCTTTGCCCAATCTGTCTGTCATTCACCTTAAATAGTTACATTTTTTTGACAAATCAAATGTAGAGGCCATATAGAGATATATTTGCTCTAGCTGTACTGGTATTGTGGTCACATCGATTCGTGGAAATGTGCCTACCACGATTCATTGCAGATAACTGCACCACTCGGAGGAAAGAGGGAGAGACTCTCCACAGCTGTGTCAATCCTTGCTGCGCTATTTGTAGATTTTGGCACCGGGATTCTTCATCCCTGGCACATAGTATTGTAAAGGATAACAGGCCGTATGGCACTGTTACCTCTTGTGTAAACTTTATACATACATCCATGCTTCTCTTCAAACATCTACACTGAAAAATCCATGACGAATTTGTCCAATTTATTATGTGAACATTCTGAAATTTCCACTCTCATGATCTCTATATTAGTTGTATCCATTAGACACTTTTTCTAAGTTGAAAAAATTCATAAAGCTCATCGTAAATGAAGACTATCCAGAACTGTCAACCTTCAAACAAAATTTTCACTTCTCATGAAATTCACTATTTCTTTGACGGTCGTCTGGCCATGACAAGTAATTGGGACTCCCTTTCTGTGGTAGATATCACCAACGTTTATGTTTCATCTAAATGCTCTCTTGCACTTATAAACATGTCACAAAGAGAACTTTAATGGTTCAATCTAAAAACAAATCTGTAATGGTTGAAAAGGCTGTGTTCACTGTCCGTGTTTTTCTTGGATCCTCAAGTCTGTTTCTGATTGTGTTTCATGGACTTGAAAGCACTCTGCTGATTGGAGAGAACCTCATGTCTTTCGAAATTTATCTGGCAGTCGTGCAATATGGAGTTTTGCGAAAAACAAGAATTTCACGAATATTTCTTACTTTTAAAACGGGACAATTATCGTGGTAACACACGATGTCATCCATGTTCAAGTCTATGCTCAACAAATAATTCTTTTGGAGAAACAGAACCGATAACCCTGGAAACAAGAATGAGTGAACAAGAATGTATTCCATCGCCATGTCGAACAAACTCAAAATTTATAATTTTGAAGAATGAAATGAATACATAACACCATTAAAACATCACACCTACAAGATTACGCATTAATGACAGTAAAAAGAAGAATAAGTATGGAGAGAGTTTTGTGGAGGATTTCACAGCAGCAAATACAAGGACATGATGTCCACAATCAGTTACTATTCTTGTACACAAGAGGAAGTTGTTAGTGCACAATGTAATTGAAGCTGCGGCCCGTGATCTTGATCACTTGGTTCAGTCGACTTAGAGTACCAGATCAAGTTGAGATACCTAATGCTAGGGTTACAAGCCTGATTTGATAATGGTAGCTGACTCATTCTTGTGAGACCTAAAATGTACAAAACTGCCCCTCTTGACTTCGGAAACGAGCTTGGAGACAATAGAATCCTGAATGGACAAAAACCCACTTTAATGTAGAGTCACTGTTCCAGGTCTCTCACAACGTTTACCACTACAATTAGTCAGTTAATCTTTATATCATACACTATCTTGTTATATCAGAGCTTGTTTTGTTTTCAAACATCAAACCCACTTCCCTTGAGAGAAGTGTTTTCTAATCAGTTGTTCGCATCTCTAACTAGGTTCAATCGTATATTCTATCTTTGAAAACTAATTGTAAATTAAGAATAAGAGATTTAAAATGGACGCTTCTTGGAAGTAAACGACATGAACATTACATTGAAAAGAGTTATTGGGTCATTACATTTGTTACAACTGTCACGAAGTTATGCAAATGCAGCAATTTCAGTATGAATATGTGGCTGCAACACAAGCCAAGCAAGTGGCTGAATGGGGTTATATTTAGTTCGATACTGGCAACAAGCCATATCACTTCATAAATATAATGTACACCACAACTGTCTTCAATCTACTGCCTTACACTCAATTCTACAGTTGCAGGCTTTGTTTCTGCATATTGCATTCCTCCACTGACTTACTACTACAAATCTGACCGATTCTTCCTACTCCTGTTCTTTACCATTCAGCCTGGCCGTTGGTTTAAGTCTGGCTAGCAGGATAATCATTCGAGTAATCTGTTTCCGCTTTGGATCATTAAAAACGAAACAACTAGGAAACCTTATGATGCACCATTGCATTTTACATGTGTTATGACAGCAGTATCATTTGCAATCTATAATGGAACAGAGGCTCCGTTGTGACTCATCATAGGTGTGTCACCACCATGGTGTGGACTTGCTCTGAATCCTAAATCTTGGGCAACTCCCTTGTGGTTCGCCCTGTTGACAACGTGAGGGAGAGGTGGAGGTCCCACCCAAGAGAGAATCACCGGCAGCAGCACAAAGCCGTTTAGGAAGCCCAAAACCCCCATAATGGTGAACATGGCAAAGTAGTACACTCGAAACGCATGATACCTTTAGGCACAAGATCAACCAACCAAGTTGTAATGAGCTTCTGTAATCGCAAACACTGAGTATACATTCTACATTCGTTTGATACTCGAGGTACGGATTTTCTTGAGAAAAACTTTTGTCCCAAGCTTAATGAATGAAACTACCTTTCTTATAACATCTGCACCAGAAAAGAAGAACTTATGTCGTTAATTTGTAATGGGTATATGTGTTAGCAGGATGGATGAGCTTACTTGACAAAAATTAGAGGAATTGTGGCCGCGATTTGGGTGCCAAAGCCGTGGAGAAGTGGCTCAAAAGTCCACTCCAGTGCTTTCCTTACTCGGTAGTTTCGTGTGCCATCAACCATCAAGAATGACCTCGCCAAGTAGGTGAACTCAGACGACATTCCAATCTGTACAAAGCAATCAACTCGTTGTCAGTCGAAGTTTAACTTAGAAGTTGGCTAATTGAATCATACAACGTCCCCAACTAATATTTGCAGCTTTTGGTATAAAAATTTCAACCAATTTCCACATGACCGGATAGGTTAAGAGACTTACAACGATGCCAAGGTTGACAAGCGACAGCGCTGGAAAATTTCATCCAAAAAAATCACATTGATAATATTAGTTCTCTAGAAAGTTGCAAAAAGAGTTTCTAACGGTCAAACACGAAAGACGTGTTTCTTTGTTCAGAATTGTTGTCAACTAGTCCGAACCAAGAATGATACTTTCATGTTGTGGTGAACTCTTCGTATGGTGCAGGTATAATGAATTTAAGGTAAACTTACAGTTCAGTTTAGCCCCGATCACATAAATGAATCCGTAAACTTCAAGATCAACCATGAGCAACACGGTAACGATGATCAAGGACATGGTGATGCTGAACTGGAATACGAGCACAGCAACAAACACACCAACTGTCGCAGCCATATATGCAGAACATTAGTGAACGACAAATAACTACTGAAGAAGCATTAGTACATACATGCTAGTAACATGGGTCATAAACGCAATCCTGCATCCTGAGAAAAAAAGAACCTCGATGAATTTAGCATGAAGAATCAATTATACTAATGTGTTAATGCACTTACCCAAGGCCAAGCCTACAACAGTGTAGAGATCGCGGTAGCTATGAAGATACTGCTCGAAGAACAGGAATGGAAATCCATACATGAAAGCTACATCTTCACCAAACTTCGTGTTCAGGTCATCAACGATCGTTCTAGTTTTGGTCATCATATCAAGGTTGGATGATGTGCCAGCACCCAGGTGCAGTGCAAACATCTACAAAGAAAAACATCATTCATGAGTGACTGATTGGAAAAATTGTAACATTACATGAATGCGAGAAGATAATGACAATCTTCAAAGAGAATTACCCCAGTCTTGCTAGAAGCAATGCGAAAATTGGGATTGTTTTTATAGCCAGGGGCATGTGCATCCTGCATACAGCTGAGCTGCTCTTTTGTTATGCTGTCCTCACAGTAAATATCTTGAAGGGAAGCAATTCCTAAATAGAGAAAACACATCGTTGTGAGAAATTGTGCACAGATGCACATAGATGATTGCGACTTCTACTGAGATGAATAGGAAGAAAAGCATTGAAATTCATCCAATCAATCTTGTAAAGCTGTGGACAGAATCTAAGGAGGTATTCTTTCTATCACGTCCCCAGTTTTTAGCATTTCATCGAGAGTTTAAGTTTGCGCATCACAGTACAAAACCATGAAAGACACCAAGCATTCATCGTTTCCAATGTGAGCAGCACTGCAGTAGTTGACGTACCAAGTGGGCCCGCTGACCAGTGCTTGATATAATCGTAGTAGGTTTGATTGTTCGCAGGAATAGGCCAACTTACATTATACGCAATTTGGTTCCAAAGATAGAGGTTTCCAAGCGGTGATGACTCAAGAATCTGCATGATCATAAAATTATGAGAACAGACACTCAGTAAAAATCACAATTTTCATGCACAAGATGTCACTAGTTGAATGATCAGTGTCTAACTACAAACGACGAGACTAAGTTGAATCTTTGAGCTGCTCCAGTTTTGAACACGGGGCAGTGAATTTACCCCTGGTTGGGGAGGATTCCATTTTGTTTTCTCAAGAGCGCGGTACATCTCTACGAGATTATTCTGGTTCTTCGCATAGTCGATGTCTCTTGTAACAATCCACTGCAACCATCCCCAAAGTAAGATAAATATTTTTATGCCTCAAACTTCAAATATCACTGTGTCAGTGAAGAAGAGTGATGATTCGTGTCACCCTTGACAGCACTTGTCCACATTAATCTTCGCAACAAAGGTTTTTACTGACGCATATGCTTATGACCCTGACTTGACGGATATTGCTACATGCCTTGTAGTTCATTGAAGCGAATGTCTGATGCATCTGAAAGTACACGAGTCTGAATCAGTGATGCCACATTGTTTAACCTAGTTAAGGAGATACGTTACTTACAACGTCGTAACTTGTAAATCTGTCCTCGGTAGTTCTGGCAAATGTGTTCTGATATGACCCTGCAGGTGCCAACACACGCATCTCAGAAGGTATTCAATTTCATTTTCTATTTCAGTCATACTAACTCTGCATTTGTGTTGCAAACAGCATATATTGCACAAAACAAACTACTGAATTTTAAATACAGCGTAACTGTCAGAAACGCACCAGTTAATGTGACGTCTGATAGCCTTAACCCATGCTCCACTTTCTCGAATCCCAAATACGTCATGGACACAAGCAATCCAGAAAACAAAACTACCTGGACAGAATCAATATGGTAGAAACGGAAGCGTTCATCAGAGCTGCCACTTTAGAATGATTAAAAGGAGCAAAATCTCTAACCGAATTGGCAACTTACACTCTGCGCAAGTGATTGGTCAACAATTAATAACGTAACAACTGGGGAAAGGGTGACTTTTATGTGACTGTTCAATTCGATACACCTGAGCCATACCACAATAATTTTGAAGAGATTGCTTTCGAATAGCGGTGCATAGTATCTAGCAACCCAACGAGATATTGCAGAGCTGCCGGTGCTGTCCTGGAACGAGGGGTCCGAAAATTCGGAAGTAGCCTCCTTAGTGTAGGGCGCTGTCACAGTAGCACATGCAACACATTCAAAACCAGATATCCATGCCTTAGTACTACTTGACGAGAATTTAGTAAACGGTGCTATGAATAATTTATCTAACTCGTGTAAAACAATTTGAATTGCTGTGCTACTCCTACCTTCTGGTGCTTTGCTCTTGCGGATGCCGCAAAACAGCCACAAATTGGGGTCGTTGTAACGAGCCTGGACAAGATACACTTATGTTTTAGCTTAATTTGGGGCAACTTAGCAGAACACTTAGCTCAAATTCTTGACAGCAACAATCTCTGCAATTAATACAGTCATGGAAGTGGAAGAGCTTAGATAAAAGCGAGATGAAGGTGTCAAAAGATGGATGATACCTTCACCCTGCGAGCGTCAAGAGCCATAATGGGCATGAAAATGAGAATCATCCCAAGAGTGTGCACTGTTGCCGTCAAGCCCATTTGCCAGCAAAACCATTGTGCCACGGGCATCGGATTCTGTCGTGCAGAAAATGGAAACAACAATCCTTTCAAAATTATAAATGTTCTACATCAAGCAAGGAGTGTAAAATAGCAATCGACAAGTTTGTGTTCACAAAATCTTACCATTGAGGAAATGAAAAAAGCTGCTAGAACGGAAAATGTAGTGAGGATGACAGAGGGTCCAGCAAGGGTTAATGCATGTCTCATTTCACGTTCAGGTACTAAGTCACCAGGAGTGTTGAGTGCTTGCAGTTTTGGATCCTCCAAAAAATTCCGTAAAACGTTCACTAGTACAAATACGTCGTCGATACCTGCACAGGAAACATAACTTGATCACTGTCCACTTTATCTGTAACTAAATTGCACACGTGACTGCAACTCCAACTAAATTGCACTGCATCCGATTGCTGCGGTTATGATACCCTTCAGTTCGTAACTAAGCATGATCCGAAAAATTTCTGTCTGAAAGTTCTGTATGGAAAATCATCAGACTCACCTAAACCAAGCGCAAGGAAGGGCACGACTGAGCCGGCTAGAGGAGAAAAAGGAATGCCACAAAGTGCAGTGAGGCCAAACCCAGCCAGAACAGCAAAACCCACCACTGCCATTCCCTGCAAAAAATACAGCAGACGCCGAGTCATATTATGCTCCAATCTCTTGAGACTCGCAATTGTTAAAATATTAAAATACTCAGATACTAAAACTAACCGTTTGCAATCAAAGGTCAAGAATAGTAAGCATGAATGTATTGATAGCAATCTTCTCAGAGAAAAACAATAGAGAATATCGACAGCAAAGGCAGTGCTTTTGATTCAAGGTTATTTTAATTGAGAAGCCAGAACCAGGTTTATTGAAAACTAAGGTCTTACCATAAGAGCTAAACTGGTATGAGAATGGACTGGATTACGCAAATTGAGGAAAGCTAAGAAAGCATAGGCGGAGACGAGCGCTGCACCCAGAATGATTTGCCATAAAGGAGATTTGCTTGCGTCTGCAATAATGTCTCGTGTAGATTTCTGCAACCAACAACAAACCATCCAATGCGTTATGCATTCATCAGTTAGACCAAAACATACCAGCTTCAATCGTCTCTTAATACCAATTTCAACAGAAGCATTTATTAGAAGAGTGTGTTGTAAAATACATACCCACATATTGAACTCTAGCTGAAGGTTCTCATACATTTCTCCATCCCCAAAAGAAGTGTTAGTGGCATGCCGCCTCATAGGGTCTAAATCATGAATCATGGCATCCTCCCATTTCTTAACCAGATGCTCCCTCTCATCAGATCCTACAGAGGTAACCAATCTGTTACTAATATACTCTGCAAATAAAGGGTGATCATGGTGGTAATTGTTGGACCCCCAGCGAACGCCTCCAACCTTGCTAATATTCTTCCCTGAAGCATCATACTCCACACTCCCAAGGGCTGTGAAGATGGGGAGATGTGCTCCAAACCATGTCATGCAACAAGGCATTTTTTTAAGGATGCAATCCACAACCTGGGGTACACCAGGATCGGGGTTTTTGTGACGGCCAATCTCGACAGCGCTATTGATGTGGTCTATTATCTGCGCAACAATACAGGTATCAAGCATCAGCAAACAAATCGCAACTCTTATTGATTTTCTGCATACTCAAGTCACAGAGAAAATTTGTAAATCGAACACATGGTACACATGATACGATAGTATCCACAAAGATGTAGATAAATCTTGCAGTTAATCAAGTATGTTAACTACATCATGAGCACAGAACCCAATTTCCTATTTTGTGCACTTACCTCTTTGTTAGACTTCATCAGAGAATAAGGCTTGCGCCAGCGATAACCCCAGGTGAAGGCAAACTTCATTATCGAAACAACCTCGTCTACAATCTGCTCAACCGTACCAGAGGTCATGTTAAGTGGCAGTTAATTTAAGAATCTCCACGAAATAATGGGAGGGTATTATAGTTCAGGCGAGCATATATCGATAGCATACCAAATATTGAAAGAAAACAGGAATTCAATGATTTGAGAATGGTATTGATTCATTAGGCATTTACCCCCTGAACTTCAGCTACTGGTCTCCCAGCTTGACGAAACTGAGAAGTAATATTCGTTCGCAACAAGTTGACACATTTCACGGGGGCGGTTGTCATTTGGTACAAACCAAGCAGGAGATCAATAAGGGTGATGTTTTTTATGGTTCCGACATCAGGAACAGGCCTTTCAAGCAACTTCATTTCCTCGGGGTAATCAAAGTCACCGCCCTCTTTGAAGCAGTCCATTGGCGTGAGTTTGGTGCAAGGAAACCGTGTTATACCCCAACCTTCAGGAAGTGCGGAGTCGGCGGACACTCGACCAGTGTACGCCCAGAATACCGAACAAGTAGAGATATACTGCAGTCCCCATGCTCCCCAGTTGTTGTCTTTCATTGGATTCTTTCCGGGCTTTAATGTAGTTGGCACAATTGGCCTCTCGCAGAAATCAACCTGACATTCATTCACAAACGAGTTCATTACAATTCAGCTCTACTACGGTGATAATGTCAAGCTCTTCATCTTTAAACAAGGCAATTAATCACGCTCTACTTCATCAAAGAGAACGCTTACATTGCCCAGTTTGTTCCTTGCGCCTCCCACAGCTGTTTCCATGCTTAGTTCATCATAAAGAGGCGCAACAGCATGAGTCAAGGCATCCATTGATCGCTTCAGGTCGATTTGAGCGTCTGGGGAAGCTCGAGATGTTATTGTAACCGATTCTTTCCGAGGGATACCACCATACCTGTTACAAAAACAGCAAAATCATTGTCCTCAAATGATAGTTGAACACAAATACCAACTTATTGAAGAAATGGTAGCCGACTATTAACCCCGAAACAACATCTTCTTGGATGGAAATTTGATTTTCGGGGACCATGTACCTCTGATTGAAATATAGACGTTCCTCAACAACACGTGAATTGTGCTCTACCCACAGCTTCTCCAAGTCTGTCTCAGTTGTTCGCTTAATCAACCCTGCTGTCAAGCCTCCTAACACCATAATCCCAACTCTACAAATACCACAGGGAAGAATGTGATTGGCGTCAGTTGTATAGACGCACACTATTTGTCAATTTTGTAGCAGTGAATGCAGTCAAGTCAAGCGTGGCTGAGGAACTAAAGAGGGGCATATGATGGATAAATTTAAATGCTGTATGCCCTCCTAATCGCAGGCGAAAATTTTGAGCAGCTACAGACTTTGATTCAAGGCGAAGTCACTGAACAAGGCCAACTACATGTTACGAATGATGGTTTTGCTCACAGCCTTACATGAAGGGTATCCAAGGCTTGTGTGCAACAAATGAGCCATAGCCTGCGAATATCTCATTCATTGCCAAATGGTATCGGTGCAACATTCTCCGGTACGCATTCGCAAGCTGCCACCAACAAAATCCAGGCTCAAACACCTCAGCTCTTGTGATGAACTTCAGAACTATGGTTAGCACTCAAATGAGGCCACGCAGCAAATTTCATGTCGTGAGTTGAAAGAATCTCGCAGCGATTTTCATGTAGTGAAGGAATGTGCAGCAACAATACTCTACTGCTTAAACACTCGTAACTAGATGCTTTGGAGATGAAAAGATGTCGACTTGAGAAAAAAAACCCGTGAAGCCTCCGGCATTGTTGCAAAAAGAATTACGAATGCTGCTTACCCCCATGATTGTTGACGGAGATAATGAACACCTAAGTTTTGTCTGCTAATTACTGATTTGGTTCAATGTCGCAGTCGCCGCATCTTTTCACCTGCCACATGACGGATAATTATTTTGACCATGTCAGGAGAAGCTTCAGGCTTGACTATACTCCGCAAACATCCTTCGACAAAATTTCTCACGATTCTGACGGAGAAGCTACTCAGAACCTTCTCACTGACACACTGTGTTTCAAGGCACGCCGCCAAATTCAGAGAAAACACTCACGGACAAGACGCTACATCTAAAAAAACAAAAACAAATGCCTCGTCGGCGGTTACTAAACCTCTAAGAGTCAACCACGAAAAGCAGGAGAGAGAGTGATGGTCGTCAGCTTTCTGTCATTAAATGAACAGTCAGAGAGACAGAATATCGTAAGACGTGAAGGAAGCTCTTAAAGAGGCTTCACACATTATGTTCAATTCTAATACGAAGAGAAGAATGGGACTTGCAGAATGTGTTACACGATGCAACTCGGCAAATGCATGAGGTACCCAGCTGGGCACAAGCCGAGAGTTTTAATAGCCATGGGCGATGACTGTATCTCTACTTCGCAGGGGCTATCACTGTCTCCCCGGAGGACGAGCATGGAAGTTCGCGGGAGTCCAACAACTGAAGAAACATGTCCACTCAACAGAACCCATGATGCTTGGAGACCATGACCATACAAGTGGAAGTAATTCACAGTGCAGAAAACCACTCAGACCAGATCCGCAACACTCCATTACACTAACCCGGAGACATATGACTCCACCGACATCCGGTGACCAATTCCTACACTCTCGAGAGGACGGATTTCGCATTTGCATCTGCCAACAGGGCGCTATGGCTCCACTACCACGAGCACCAGTTCACAGCAAACATCTCAAGGTGAAGACGGAGAACCCAACTCACTCAAATACAGTGAAACTGTGATGGCGGACACAGTTACTCACTTGCACACAACCATCGTGGTTCACAGCTGAGAACACAAAGACAGCTTCTTCTTCTGCTGCTGCTTCTTCTTGTAGAGGTAGACCAACCCATCAGCTGACGCCCAGCTCCGCGGCAACAAAGATGTCTACCCAGTGACCCCGAAATACAAGAACCAAAGAACGAGATAAAATGGAGAAGATGTGAGTACGTGAGGAGGAAGAGCAGCTGCTGCCGAGTCAGAGCGTGAAATCGAGCTACTGTGAGTGGAGTGGTGAGCTTAGCGACATCATGAGATTGAAAGAGCCATCAATGGCGGCCACTGAAACTGGCAAGCTCCTCCAGTTTGTACGTATTTAAGTCTTCCTTAGTCTCATTATTGCCACACAGACACACATCAGTGATCTGCGTCCAAACGAACTTACTGTGCAGAGCATTTGCACCTCATAAACCCCTCTATCTTTCATGCCTTTTCATCTCATCCATGAAGCGCATCAGCCTAAGTCTAATTGATCCCCTTGGAATGCTAAGGTCTGCTTATGTAGTAGAGCAGCTCGCCTATGAGCTCTTTTGCTCCACGCTAACGCATTCAAAGTCATGAAACCAGTAGAACTCGAAATAGTTGCGGACGAGGTAGAAGCTTGCGGTTTTGAAAGCAAAACAAACCCAAATTGCCTCATGTTAGGAAAATAAACCATTGCTTGATATTACTCATCAGTGATTTACATCTGCTTCAGCTGCACTTTCTGCGACTATTTTATTCAAAATATTCCAAATACTTTTTATTGAATTAAGTTGTCAGCAGTCATGAATTTGCTCCCTGCGACTTAAATATCAGTATTGATGGTCGAACGATAATGTTGGGTCACAGAAGAAAAAAAAAAAAAAGAGGCTGCAATCTGTTACAGCTGTTACTTTGCAATTGAAATTTGATTGTTTTTATTCTTATTCATTTTTATTTCTTCTCCATTATTCATTGAGACAGAATTTACAAGGAGGTGATGAATAAATAGTTTAAAGGTGTTGATAAGTACATCTCATTTGGGATAGTTAAAATGTTGCTTTCACACACGTTTGAACCTCCACAGAATCAAAGAATCTACATAACAGAAATTAGACCCACCAGAAACACGGCCCGCTTCCAAAGGCAAAAGCCTCATCTCACAACTCAGAAGAAGTTTCACTCAAGTTCCCACACAGCAACACATCTCAAGCTCACCCACAGAATTAACACAACGATAAACTGCAGGTTAACAATTCTGTGTTTGTTTTTTCTTTCTTTCTTTCCATTCAGTACAAGTAGAACTTGCAAGACGGAATCAAAATCCTCCAAAAAGAACGTCTGTAAATCGATTGTCCTGCAATAGAGCATAATCTACAGCATTGAATGACACTGTACACACTGTTGTTATTTCAACTGAAATTTCCCTCTCTACTTCTTCCTTGGTGTTTTGAATGTTCTAGGTGCTTACTAATGACTCCCACACCCCCTGACTAATGAACTGTGTGGTGACACATTTCCCCGCTGTCAAGCCCACCATTGTTGTAATGCAGCCATGCAGCCCCACAAAGGCGAAAATCGCCATGGCTCCATCACATGCGTCACAAAAACTGGCCAGAAAACACCAAAGGCTCCGTTGAAATCACTCCGAACGGCCCTTCTGTCACCCATCAATGAGCTCCTCCTCCAACTTGCCTCTCTCTCTCTCTCCACACCCCCTTTGCAGATAAAAGCAATAAAAACGTATGGATAGATACTTGGAACCTATCGATTCAGCTCAATTTTTGCTTTGGATTCTCACCGAGCTCTCTCTTATCCACTCAGCTTTCATAAACCAACCAGGCTGGTGACTGATGATGAGACTCGTAGATAAACACCCCCACAACAAAAACTGACACCTTTTCTCCTTTTTTTGCTTCCTTGTTTGTTTTGTGGGTCATGATTCTGGCGATTCGAGTGACGCAGAGCGTAATGAATCTGCACACTAAACTCACACTCTTTTTCTTCATTGGGTGGGCAAACATGGGCGGGGGGGGGCAGGATGTATTTATTTGTATGCTGGGGTGGGGTGGTGGTGATGGAGGGAGTTCGCCATCTGCGTGGGGATGTGTATATGTGTGTGTCTGTGCGCTGCAGACAGCATTGTTGCAATAAAAGCAGGGATTTTATTAAAGGAAAGGTTGCAACGACGGGGTGTGGAAGTATACTGTGGGTCTTATCCACAATCAGGGCTCTGCCACTCCATCTTTCATGTGCCGGGCCTTTAATACTTTCTCTACCCTCCTCCCTCTCTTCCAACTCTTCTCTTGCTTTCACTCTCCATGTTTCCCTTTTGCTGCCCATTCCGTTGTAATGAACCCTCTGAAACCATTACACACTCACACATCACATGGAGCATCTTTCTTAGCAAACAATCGCGAAGAAACACACACAATGAGAGTAAAATTGCAAACTATTATGTGTGTATTTAATGATGAAAGGACGATTGCTATTCAAGGGCACTTTACACCCAGGCACCCACTTTGAAAGGATATGGATGGCTCATAAGAAGCTTTTTTAAGGGTCTCCAACTCGGTGACAAATGCTATTGAGGTAGCATTCCGCTTAGCTCCTTTCAGTTCATCTTGGATGGGAATTTTTGTTTATGGTGTTTTTGGAAACAATTTGTGAAGATAACTTGTGATTGTTGATGTTGATTGAGGTCCATAGTCATGTGTAATAAAATTTTGAATTGTGGTTTGGATGTAAAGAGTTATATGTCTTGTCCCAATTGCAAATCAAGATTGGTTGTTATCTTGTTTTGTTTTGTTTTGTTTTGTATTTTGTGTTTTTCTGTTTTATTTTTTATTTTTTATTTTTTTTGAGATTTCAAAAGACCAGATTTAGAGTTAAGCAACTATTTTTATTTTTTCAAATATAAATATTGTTGAAACATTGGTCAATATACTTAAAGTTGGCCATTTCTTAAACAAAAAATTGTACAATGTTCTTCTAAGCATAAATTTATATTTTTTTATATTTAGAATGATACTTAATTACAAAAAATAAATAAATGAACAATAATAAAGATTTAGTATTTGTAAATTTTAACCACCACAGAGATAAGAATTTATACTTAAAAAATATAAATATCCATAAATTTACAAAAATGAAATAAAATAAAATAAAATAAATACTTAAGCATCTAAAAGAACAACCAAGGTATTTTGATATATTTACAGGAACAAGTAAGTTTTACAAAACATTATCATCACTCGCACATTACAATTTCATCAATTATAAAAATTCAAAAATACAATATTATATACTAAGATAGAAAGTTAATCAAATAATATATTTTAAGTAAAATTTAAATATAATTTTGAACACATATTATAAAATCTTAAAATTCGTAAACATTAAAACAAATTCTAAAACTTTACATCTTGATTTAAAAAAAAGAACTAGGAAAGATAAAAAAAAAATCAATTATAAACTACTAATAATTTTTTAAAATATAATTTTTGTTAACTATTGGTCTATAAATTTAATTATCTTGTTTGAAATATATATAGATATATATATACATATATATTATTAGTATTCTTGTTAATAAATTTCTTGTAAATTTGTAAGTATTTAAAAGATAACATTGTTACTTAATATTTTCTCCAATTCGGGAAAAATTTATACTAATGACAAGAATTTTAGTTGTTTGAAGTTTAAAATATCTTGAAACATTTTCTTTTACCTATAAGAAAATTGCTTGTTCCAGTTTCTTTTAGAAAATATATTTATTCTAAATATATTCTTACTGTACAAAGTTTTTTTAAAAATATTATAAAAAAAAATACAAATACAAAAACATTAAGAAATTTAAATATCTGTAACATATCATTTATTTTTTAAAATTAATCATAGGAATCTATTAATTTAAAAGTTAAACTGATAATTTGCAAAACATTTAATGTTTTAATTATATTTTTATTATAATCATAATGATATTTTTAAGTTTGAAACTTATATATATATATACTATAGAATATTAAGTACTATTGCATATAATTTAAGCATAATTATATTTCTCAATAAAAATTTTAAAATATAGTAAAATAAAATAAATAAATGGATCTGATAGATCTTCAAAGTTACTCCAACAGCTATTTTATAACCTCACATATAGAAGACAACTGAACTCATTGTGCAGACAAATACTTCTTTTATTAATCTTATGAACTTATTCAGCCTTCATTGATTCCAATACAAACCGTTGTATTATATTTTTATACAACTAAATATCAACCATCAAGTTTAAAAGTTTTGTAATTTTACTTTTACAACGCTGTTTTTTAAGGAAAAATTTACATCTTATATATATATATATATATATATATTTAAAAACATCTAATATATGGTTTATCCTCATTTTTAGATTTAAAACTTTTAGATTTAAATACATTTATTTTTATTAAATTTCTAATTGATAAATATCCTAATTTGTGCATCAAATGATGTTTTAGTAATATTAAATATAGATGTTAAACTCTCATAACTCTATATTTTTAAATAGGTAGAACTAGAATTTGAGTAAATGAAATATTATTCTGTTATTTGCAAGGTAATATTAATTTTTGTAAAAATAATTGACCAAAACCAAAATTTAAAATTTTCAATGTAAACTAAATTTTCTTTTAATAAAACAACACATTCTTTTGGCTTAGAACATGTTAGGATATAGATTACAACTTTCATGATGCTCTTTTAAAACAATTAAGAATTTTAGATTGAACAAAAGAAGGAAGAAATATCTATATATATATATATATATATATATATGTGTGTGTATCATATATATACATATATATGTAATTTAAATTGTAGATAAATTGTGGTTACTTTGATGTAATGTAAAGACTTACTAATTTTGTAACAAATTAGATTGTTGAAGTTTTAGAAAATTTTAAATCTAAAAACATCTTAAGTAATGTCAAAATCTTATAATGCATAGAGTAGATAATAGAGTAGATATTCAATTTTAATATGTAAAGGACTTTTTTTAGTCAAAACTTTATAATTATATTAAATGTTAAAAAGTATTACTATTTTAAGCTTGTATCATGCCAAAGAATTTTATTTTCTAATCAATGACATCTTTTGAATTTTTTCTATTTTTATTAGTTGTAATATATATATATATATATATATATATATATATATATACACATTATTTATTTATTTATTTATTTATAGAGAGAGAGAGAGAGATTATCTTCCTAAGTTGTGTATAAGTGATTTATTTTGAGATACTGTATGCAAATTTCAATGATTGAGCACATATTTTGTACAATCAAATTATTTAGACATTTAAAATCTATTCTAAATAACCATGACTTATTTAACACAGTTGGTAGTTTGATATATTAAAATTAAAAATTAATGTATATAAATAATTTTTTTTATTGGTATGCTTTATATTATGTTTGATTTTTTAATCAAGTAACATTATTTAATTCACTATGTACTCAAGCAATATAATACAAAAAAATCATATAGGTGCGTTGTCTATTTATATAAAATTCTCCCAAATAAATATTACGAAATAGACTTAGAATGAATATATATATATATATATATATATATATATATTTCTAATGTAAGAACATTAGATAAAATCGTTGAAAAAATGAGTAGTATTATTTTATTTATTTTTTTATTTTTTTACTTTCTGCAGCTAAATAGACCCAACAATCATTCTGCCCGTTGAAAGACTGTTTTTATTTTTTGGTCTATTTAAATCTACCAAACGAAACACAAGATAAAATCGCATCCAAACATCCCACATATTCTCTAAAATTGGTACAAGATTAATTTCATATCTGCTAAAAAATGAAATACATATAAAAAGATCAAAGAAAATATCGTAACAAAAAACAATTGCAAACATGAAGATTATAACATGTATCTGTAGTCGTATTCCAAATGCTTCAGATGTTTGTGTGCCTAAAACAATAAAAATCAACCAAAACAAAATAAATTTAAATAAATAAATACATAGTGTAACCTGTGTATTTGTGAAGTAATAAGACAATAAAGAATTATTCCCAAAACACTCCACAACCTCTTGAAACAGAAATGTGATCAAGAGATGCTGTAGGGAATGATTTAATTTCATACAATATTGACAGCCGTGGCTCAATACAAGCCTCAGAGAAAAGATTCCTGTGAAGAATAATTTCTGGATAAAAAGCCTGAGGCCGAAGAAGAAAGAAGAAAAATATTATTATGAAAGAAACTAGGAACAAATACAGCCCATACTTATGATATATATATATATATATACAAATATATTTCTTTTTCTTATAGATTGCGTCCGTTTCATACTCTGAGTGCTACACGTGTATCCAATTGTGGGGACGAGAATTCGCCAAGTTGCGAAGTAAACGCTTATTATAGCTCTGACAACAGAAATAAATGCAACTCAGAGATTCATGTATTCCAGGGATGTGTTATTTATGAAGCATATGGGGGCCCTGACTAACGAGGCAGAATACTCTGATTACCAGTAATGTGGAGGACACTGACATTGAAGTTTCTAGGGCAATTTGGTTTCAGTTTAGAACAGTTGAGATCGAGGAAGACTAAGATTGTCCAAATGTGAAACTCAATGCTGTGGCTTCGGAACCCACACAAAATTAAAATGGGTGTACATTGGTAAGATATTTTTAGATAGTTAGGTGGGGGGGACGTAACTATGTGGGTCACTTCTCGTGTCTCTTGTACTGCTGCGTGAATGGACTCTGACGTACCTGCAGATATCCTCCCTAGAATGCATATTATCCAAACAATTCACTGGGTCGGATAGTATCTATTTAGCAAATGGCGTTGGTAAGGAATCATGTTATACACCAGAGCCAGCACCGCACGAGTTGTTGACAGTTGAGCAGTCAATTGCATGTCAGCATTAATCCTAGTGGATGACGATATCCACGCCACAATTCTCACCTGAGCTTGATGAGTTTGTCACCCACCGGGGTTTCAGATCATTCGAATTTGACCTTGCTCGTGGAATTTAATGTAGGGGTTTGTAACAGCCATCTAGTGGTCCCTCTTCATAACATTCACATTCGTGGAGACTAGTGGAGTGAGGTATTTCACTTAGATTTTGGCCCCTTCCACAATATAGATAATCTCATTTCTCAAAACCGTCATCATAGGACAAGCTACTCGCCACAATCACAATGACATAAAATTTCAAGTCTGGTGTTACTTTGGTAGAAAAATAGATGGACGAGCGTAATACCAGACATGGTTTATATATGCCATAAGAAACACTAGTGATCATCGTTTGTTGCTGAAATAGAATGATTCGTTTAGAAATCTAGTACTGAGCTCATCAGAAGCTGGACGGAGGGCGGCAAATCAACACGACTCAAAGATGAGACTCACTGAAGTAAACCAAGGCAGTGCACGATTTCGAGATTGTCAGACGCTGAACCAGGCACGATTGGAGTGTCAGAGAGAGGCAGGCATAGTCCCGAATCCAAATTATAACCTGAGAATTGCAGAAAATTCATCGAGAACCAAGAGAGAGAACACGATATGCTGATGGTGAAGAAGAAACTTTACTAAATATATCTCATGATGGAACAACTGGCTATGCCACTTCTTGTAAGGCATCTAAGATCGTGGCTTCTCCTTCTTCTCCTTGAAGAGAGCCAACAAAGACACACCAGAAACCTTCACAACCTTGAACCTAACTCCGGGAATATCTCCCACAGCATGTCCCTTTCGCCCAAATCCAGCAATCAGAACCTCATCCTGCAGACAAAATTCAAATACAAGAGTTAGGCCAACTGACTGCATTGACTGGACCTGATTATCATCAGTATACATGTGTAATGGATAGATTGAAAGGGAAATTGTTAAAAAAAAAATAAATAAATAAACAAATAGAAACAAATAAAAAGTTTTTCTCCTGCAGTGTTCATCGATAGGGCAACTTACGTTCTCCTCGATGTAGTTTAAGCAACCATCATTAGGGACGAAAGCAGCAATCTTCTTTCCATTCTTGATGAGCTGTACCCTAGCACACTTTCGAATAGCAGAGTTGGGCTGCTTAGCCTCAATACCACTGCACAAAACGATTAAATCAATCACAGGTTACGAAGTGGTTAGTTAAAATCAATAAATCGTCCCAAAAGGGAAATGATATTCACCAAAAGAGCATGAATTGAGTAGAATGGCACGTACATCTTCTCAAGAACGATTCCCTTGGCGTGAGAAGATCCGGCAAAAGGCTTCTTCCACTCATTACCCAAGTGACTCTTCTTGTACGACTTGTCAGCCCAAAGCTGGGCTCTGCGGTGGTTCTTGAGCTTTCGTCCAGCTCCCATTCCACGTGTCTTACTGCGATGAGAAGGCAATTCCGTCAGCTGAAGATTACATCTATACCTTTACAATTACACTACTAAAATAATTGGATGGTTCAGATACTGATGCGTATTCAGGTAGAGAATACATAGAATCACAAGTTTCAAACTATCACGTACGATATCGTCTCTACTGGCATGCCCTAACCCTATACCTCCTATCCTAAATCCATATAAATAGTCTACCAAGTAAATTCATACAATCAGTGCTTCAGATACTGCTGCGTATTCAGGTGTAAGCATTGATCCAAGAGACATATGCCACTAGCGGCGGCTGCAACGGTATCTCAACGAACTATATAAAAACGGGCAGCTGAGGTGGGTTAATACAATGTAATATACTAAAAATGATGGCAACCGCTTCATGGTAGAGGATTAGGTCGACAGCCTCTAAAACCAATCCCAAGAAACCAACTACTGAATCCGTTCACGTAACAGGCAGGGCCTTGCCCGAACCTCAACCCCGACCATCGGGACAAAATTGCTTACGAACTAGGTCATCGGTTCCTCAGATTCATGGCGGCAGGCAACCCAAGAGATTTAACTAAAACCCTAAATCTCGACGACGAGCAAACCCATCAGGGGCAACGAAAAAAGCATACACCCTCCCCAAAAAAATGTTGGGGTTGAAAAGACTTACCCCATGGTGGCGTGCGATGAGTGACAGACACAATAAGCGTGGAAGGAGGATGGCGATGGCGATGGAGGGAAGCCTGTGCGACTCGGAAGAAGAGGAGCAAGGAAGAGAAAACTAAAAAGAAAGAGATTTTCTTCCTCGTTGCTCTTTAGGGTACGCCGCCTCGTTCCCTGTCCCGTTCCCCCCGTTCCTCTCGTTCCCCTCGTTCCCTCTGTTCCTCTTGCACGGGAACATCACTCCGAGCGCTTTCCCTTCTTTCCGTGGGGTTGGTTGATGTGTTTTTATTTTATTTATTAATTCGTGGTTATAATTTTATACTTCTGTGTCCATTATTTGATTTTGTGTCTATTATATATATATATATATAGGAAAATTTTAAATAGACCCAAATTTTTATTAAATTGACCCACCCATTCTAACCATCATAAAAACAAATAATGATTTCTAGATTTATTTTTTCATTGTTGGATCTGCAACCAATAAAAACCAACTTATTCATTATGATCACCATATTCTTCATCAAGAGTGGGCCTATTTAGTAAGAGAATGGGTCTATTCAATATTTCCCTATATATATATATATATATGTGTGTGTGTGTCCATGTGATTAGAGTGTATTCCAACATTTAGTTACAGATGGTATCTTTTGCATTGTGTTAGTAATTTTTTACATCGCTTTGTGGAAATGTAATATTCAAAAACTAGTGAACATGTGCTCATTTGTTTATGTCAAAACATCAGCTGACTTGTGTCACCATTGGGGCTAAAACAAATATTTGAGATTTCAATGGTTGTCTTTTAGTTTAGTTTATTTTTTGGAAAATAATCTAGTGACTTGAGACTTTATATTTAGATGATGTTTTTAATCACTAACATTTTTAACAGTTTTTTTTCCCATTATATCATGTGTATAGATTAAAATATATATATTTAAATATTTTGATGGATGATTTCTAACTTTAAACCTCAAAATGTACAAAATATGGCTAGCAACCATATTTTTTATTGGATTTTCTAATATGTATATACACACAAAAAGGTATTGTGCTTAATTTATAACTTCAATGGATGAAATTTTTTATAAATTATGCAAGGCTTTATAATTTACATAAACTTTGAAGCAAAATCTAAAAAAAGCCTATTAAAAAGGTTCTTCAATTTGAGTCACAAGAAGCTAATTGCAGTATCATTACACACTCACTCAATCATTCTTTGAGTGTTAGATTCTAACCAAAGCCCTCCACTATTGGACACAAACATCCTATGTACATTACACAAGGTCACCCTAACAAAAACACTACATGCTAGCAAAACAACTCAATTTTTTGTTTTCCCTAACACCAATTCTTAGTCTTTTTTTAACCTACAAAGAGAATGTGTTTGCATGATGGCTTTTGTCTTCAATTCAAACCTCACAAAAAGTAACTCATTCATGGAGTATACATATGCACCCAAAGGACTTTTGCAATTGTGCTAAGGCAGGGAAAAAACAAATATTATCAAGTAAGCAAGAAATATTAGTTAATGGACATAAGTTAAGCAAGATATATGTGTGTATATATATAATCATTTTTCAGAACTTTAGGATATAAATATACTTTATTGTGAACCACTGTTCGAATTACTCAAGATTGGTTAATTATCTTTAAAAAAAAAAAAATTGTGTATTAAATAATATAAAAATAATTAAAAATCAATGTTCAGATATTTTAAAATGATATAATTAGTGTAATTTTTTTGGAAGTTTTTAGTCACAATTGAGTACATAATTTCACATTCGAATTAGAATTTATGTCATTTAATAATAATAATGATTATGAGTATTGGTTTGTATATGTACACGCATCCACATACATACTCAAATAAGTGCACAATAAAGAATGAATCATAAAAAACACATACTGCATTATGTTAAATTATATGTATACATATTAAATTGTAAAAAAATTAAATAACATATATTAACTTACACACATTTTGAATTATTCTCTTGACATATTACATTTAGAACACACCAACATCTATTTTTTGAGGATACAAATATTTTACTCTTTGAAAAGTAACAGTCCAAACTTTTAAACTCTGAATTCAGTAGGACAAACAAAAGCCAGGAATTTTAAACATTTAAATCCACAGGCTCTTGTGGCATCAGTATTGTGCTATCTGATAGAGCTCAACAAATATTTATCAACCAATCTTTTTCACAGTCCTTCTGAATTAAGTGCTATCTTTTAATTGCATATTTAATTGTCATTACATCTCTTGCAAATTATTGTATGTGCATGTACTGATGCAAAATGCTGTTATTGCAAACAGAAATGTAGGCGTCATTGATTGCAGAAGTGAATCAAAATGAACCACAGTGCAAACATTGTAGCTAAGAATCACACAAACATGTTTTTATTAGCACCAAACAAAAATAATTAGAGCAACAAATACAGAGAAATTCTGTACTTACGTTGGCTGGGGCCACACAAATCCAGCTGGATCAGAACTCGGGTGACATGGACACGTAGTTTTGCTCATATTATGGGGTGGCCATGACACGTAGATCCTTTTCCTCTCCAGCCTGGCTCGAAACCCTAATCGATCTCCCGCATCAAATGAGCTCAATTAGGGTTTCCGGAGTGTCGTCAACGATCGAGAATTTTGACCACATTGCGTGAACGTGAGACAAAAGAATGCCGCAATGCGAGCGGGGAGGTGAAATTTCTGCAATCTGTCAGTAAAACCCTGCTAAACCCACCTCATTCTCATTTCAACGGAGTGTTTTCTGGATGAAGGCGAAGGAGGGCTTTTGTTCAAATTTCAGTGTCTGAGAGAGCTCCCGAATCCGCACATTGGTGTCTTCATACCCTGACGTCCATCACTGCGTTGCTGCTCTGTATTTGTCCAAGCATTCTCTTGTGTTTGGTTGCCCGGAGCAAGAAGTAGGCCAGGATGGCGCAGCTCATGTCGGTTGCGAGAAGGTTGAAGCCATTGTTGGACAGAGTGCTGGTGGAGAAAGCTGTGACGCCAACCGTATCTGCTGGGGGCATTCTTCTTCCCGAGACTACAACAAAGGTTCGTCGTCTGCGATCTCAACCCAAGGCTGTCACTGTGATCCGACTTTCATTTGGAATTCTTCGGCAGCGTCTTTCTGGATCATAACCGGTTCATCCATACATTGCTTTTCCCCTCCCTACATTGCTATGCACTATTGAATTTTCTGTGCCATTACTAGGTCAAGTGCTTTTCAATTGGACTGAATGGGCAAACGTGATCGTTCTTTCCAGTTGTTCCGCCTCTATCTTGTGTAGTGTGGCGAATGTGGCAATTCTTGAGTTTTGTCGTTGGTTTGCGAGTATCTTGTTACCATAGTCCCTTAATTTTCTTGCCACCTTTTTATTGTCCTGTTGACGCTGCCTTGGAATTGATTGAGTGTCGTGTTTGTTTTCTTAGTTGTCATCCTACGATTGTGTTTAGCGATTGGAAAAGGGTAAGTATATTGGGACGACTGACAACCTTTTATTTTTGGTATATGTTTTAAGAGTTAACAGGTGAACTCAGGTGTTGTTGTTGCAACTGGCCCGGGTTCCAAAACGAAGGACGGCACTCTGATCCCCTGTGATGTAAAGAATGGCGACACCGTTCTTCTTCCAGAGTATGGTGGTACACCAGTCAAGTTGGAAGGCCATGAAGGGAAAGAGTGAGTCATTCTGTATTCTTCTACTGAGTTTCTTTGTCTGTCCTTGTAATTTGTTTGTTCAACTTGTTTTCTGTTTCTGTTTCTGTTCACGTATTTTGAGCTCATGCCCTGAGGTTTAACAGTTTTGTTTTTGTTTTTTTGGTTTTTTTAACCACCTCCAAGCTTAGTCATCCCCCTTTTCAATTGTATTGCAGTCACTAAATTGTCAATGCTTTTATTCAGTTTGAGAATTTCTTCTCATCTTCAACCTTTGCGGATCAGTGTTTCCTGTCTAGATGCCGATCATGTAAGGTGTCCTATGACGATACTCATCAGTATAATTGGTGCACTGAAACTGTGATTCATTTATCTGACTTCATTTTTATCTGTCTGCACAGGTTTTTGTTATACCGTAACGACGATATTCTAGGGGTTTTGGAAGATTGAGGGCTTCGCACAAATCTGAAGTTTGATCTTTCTTGTTACAATGTTCAGAAAGTAGAACTTGTGGACCCGTGTAAAGAGGGCTCGCATCGAGTAGACATTAACTGTTTCGTGCTGGCACCATTCATGTCATCTATTCTTGTGAAGAAGATTTTACGGCGTGATTAAGGATTCTTGGTGCACTACGTTACTTCCCAATGTGCATTCCGGTGGAATGAAATCCCCAGTAGCAAAGCCTTCGTTCGCTCAATGTTCTTCTTTCGACTGTTGGTTGCTAATTTTGATAGTCTCGTATTGTGTCTGTCCAAAATTGGACTTTTGCGCACCTGCAGTTTCTTTTAGCCTGTACAGGGATGACAATCGTCGCAGAAGCGTGTTGCGAAGATCGAGGTTACAACATGGTCGCACTTTCGAAGTGGAACTTACTGAATAATGAGTAATGGAAAATAGTTGCGCTGCAGGAATATGCTTAGAACCTCACCTAATAACCAAGAAGTACACATCCTCTGCGAAGAGAGTTGGACGAGGAATCCAACGTTAACTTTATTAAATTTTTATCCTTCGGAAAACTTTCAATAGCTTATATAATCCTTAAAATAAGTATGTGAATTAGGGAAAATCACGGTATCTATTAGAATGTTATACAAATTTTCGTCCATGAAAACACGGAAATGCCCGCATGGAAAACTTTACAGCTATGAATCTCCATTTTTTTAGTACTGCAAATGAACCTCTAAATTCAATTCTGTTGATTTAATTTACAAGCAATGCAAATAGTACACTGCTTGGACACTTCATGTTTCGGATTAACTTCTTCAGTGAATGACAGAACTACACACAATTATTTTCACCGACTGATACAGTTTGTCGGTGCATATGGGCTGAAGTTGCTCCCTGCCTTTCGACCTCCCATGTGGACATAAGTTATAATTTCGGGAATCTGAGATAAGTATCCCAATTTTATGAGTTTTCTCGTCCTTAACTTTACTGCCACAAACGACGTCAATTGTCCCCAGAAGAACAATTTCGCTGTAGCATCGTTGAAGTTAAGAAATCATGTAAAGTGTCGATGCCGTCAGCGGAGTCGCTTCAAGTTTGGATTGCCAGGATGAAGTCATTTCCGAGCAAGCAAATTCTACAGTATTTTGGACCCGAGTTGAGGAGGATTAGCTTGTAGACTGATGGTTGAAGGCCGTGCTTCTGCGTGCTCCAGATTTGTTTACAATTGCAGCAGCAGCTCGGTTATGGCGGACGAGGCGAAGGTGTTGGGCTAGCAATATTCTGGTACTCACTAGATATCATCATGTTGATCAACTGCGGTGCGAATCCAATCCCCAACGGAGCAAGTTGCAGTTCTCATCACTATCTCTCGGAGCTAAATTCCCACCCCAATTTTGCTGTGTTCAAATCTCTGGGGAGCCCCAGAAATCTGAGTCTGGGGTTTTTCTGCAAGGATAATGTGTTGTGTGCGAACTTTTCGACATTACCACAGCGGGTTGAGATTCTGCACTGCGGTGTTGATGGAATTCGTGGAGGTGCATATTTTTCCTTCTTTGCATAGCTTTTTGAGAGTAGGTTAGATTAGGTTTTATTGGTGAATACCTCGGAGATTTCTGGGTTTTTTTTTGAGGGTGTGGAATTGAACTTGAGTGACTTCGTTGTGGCGAACATGGTGTTCGTATTGGGCTAGTTGTGTGCAGTCAGACATGAATTCGATATCTTGTGAGAGAGTAAGATAATTTGTTTGGTGGGCCTATCAATTTGTCAAGATTGTTTACAAAACGGATTACCTGTGGACCAAGGGCGCAATTTCTGGAAGTTGCTTTTGCCACGAGTTCAGCTCATTGCCTAATTTGAGACTTTCTTCAAGCCCTTGCTGAAAACAGACTCAAAGGAATTTTCGTTTCCAAAGATGATGGCTTCTGTTTGATCTCGCATAAGAATCTTGGTGTCCGACTAGCTGCCGGAATTCTGATTGCTTTGCCTTCGCCGCAATTGTTAACAGGTGGCCAACGCCATGATTATATCCACCCTCAATCCCACGAATCAGCTGTAAAGTTCGCAACCCGATGTGTTAATACAAAAACGTGTTTAATGTTGGTTTGAATCTGCTTGTCACCTATGGTTTCGTTACGAGCATACTAACATTGCCAACTTTGATCCTAATTGGATGATTCTTTTTTGTTATCTTTAAGGAAAACATCTCTAGTTTTTCTAGAGAGCTCATTGCTGGAGCTAATTCCGTGGTCGAGGACTCTTTAGCTGAGAGCGACATAGGTGAATCTCTAGTTCATAGGAAGCTTTTGTGAACCGAGATTTGATGCAAATTCTGTTACTGCTTGAGTCTGTTATTTGTATCTGGTTCTCTGAGATGTCATAATTATACTTTATTATCTATTTACTTCGCGTACTCACTTGCATTTATTATGAATGCTGTCTTAGTTTTGCATCCAGTTGAAAACAAAGTTTCCGTGCAAACACAATCACCTCGCAAGAAATCTGGAAAAGAAACAAGATTCCAGGTGGTGGAGGAACTACGATCGGGGCGCACTCCTTTTGATGTTTTAGAGAGCATGACAGAGTGGAGTCCACCTGTGTTGTGGGCTGTCGTGGACTACCTACGTGCGCATGCCCGTATGCAAGAGGCTCTGGAGGTGAATCATTCACCATAATACTTCTGTTGATCTAAGGGTGGTCTGCTTCCACTGCATTTTCAAGCAAATTTTTAGTGGTATTTCTCTTCAGTCGCGTAGTTTCCCAAGTGAAGTGCCTGTTGTATGATACCACAAATTATTCAGGTCTTTACGTGGTGGAAGCAGCAAGATGGATACCGACCATGTGAACTTCACTACACGAAATTTATACGCATGCTTGGTCAGGCGCGTATGCCAACAGAAGCTCGAGCACTTTTTATTGAGATGTGTGGAGTAGGTATTCGGCCAAGCGTGGTTACCTACACATGTCTTCTCCAAAGTTATGCTGAACGTGGCCAATTTGAGGAGGCTGAATTGATACTTGAAGATATGATTCTGAGTGGTGATGCAAAACCTAATGCCGTAACATATACAGGTGGGTCTATTTTCAGATCAGTGAGTGGATTGTACTGGAAACTGTTGATTGTTTTTCTGACGGGGCGCTTATTTTCGTAGTGTCATGGACTTATGTTTTCATGTGCACAGGTCTAATGCACGCCTACGGTAAATATAGAATGTATGATGGCATGTGGCGAACCTTCAACAGAATGAAGACTGGAGGTGTTCCTCCTGATGAATTTGCTTACAGAACCTTGATAAAAGCATACGCTCAGGGAGGTCTCTTTGACAGGATGCAGCTTATAGCAAAAGAAATGAGTCTCGATGGCATGTACGCAGACTCAGCTACTTTGAATGCAGTAGCTCAGGCGTATGCAGAAGCTGGATTGGTGAAGGAGATGGAGAAACACTATGAGATTCTTAGAAAATACTCTTTTATTCCCAACCGGACAACAATCAAAGCAATGGTTTGGACATATGTGAGGAATAGTCTGTTCTTTCAGCTAAGTAGATATGTAAAAAGAGTGGGCTTGAAAAGACGGACTATGGGGAACTACTTGTGGAATGCTCTCCTATTATCTCGTGCAGCTAACTTTTTAATGGACGACTTGAGAGTAGAATTCGAAAATATGAAATTTGCAGGGTTTTTTCCAGATGTCACAACTTGTAATATAATGGCTATAGCATACAGTCGCATGAAACGGTTCTGGGATCTGCATGAGCTGATCATCACGATGCAGAATAACGGAATCGCTCCTGATTTAGTAACCTATGGAGCGGTAATTGATTTGTTTATTGGAGCTGATCTGAGGCCTAAGTTATTGGAGGAGTTAGTGGAGTTCAGAAACCTTGATGTTTTGGCAGAGATGGGGACAGATCCCTTAGTGTTTGAGGTGTTCGGAAGAGGGGGGTTCCTTGTAGCTTGTGAAACACTTGTGAGGAATATGGAAGGTCAAGACATGGATCAGCGAACATATGCTGAACTGATTGGATACTACCTCCAGTCTCTTCCCAAGCGAAGCCGTTCAAGTTCACGAGTTTCTTTGTCTTAACGAACTTGGGAGATTATCCCATTCAGCTTATCACTTTTTCATTCTTTGAGATAGAGAGAGTACTAGTATCCAACTAGCGCACTATGTGGAACCTCTGTCTTTGCATTATACCTTGATATGAATATCTATGTTTATCATAGTAGCTCCTGGTGAGTGTATGTTATGTCTGTGGAGGTAGAAACGTTCGTTCTGTGTTCTTTCAATCTTGGATTGCCTTTATCCCCTTCATAATCAATGTCTGAAAATGGTATTTATTTCTGCAACATTCACCTCTGTTGCACACATGTATATCAGTACGTAATTTGATGTGCAGATTAGAAGGGATTTAGAGGATTTATCAAGCAAACTTTCCTCTTAGAACTGATTTCATCACTCTACGCATTTGGGTCCTTCAAGATGTCGGGTGGTGTATGTCATGCTTTTGCCGCTGAAGATTCTGCTCTGTTTTGGTAATGGTTTATTGGGTTGTGAAGGATTGAATATCATTCCAATTAAGCCTTTCCTTCGAAAATGAAGAGGGCGGTGGCTCATCTAAAAATGTAGTCGTTGATGTGAAGCAGACAACAGGATGGTTGTTACTCTGTAATTACTACTTCTTGTGCAGAGTTTCTTATATTGTCGATTTGTGTAACAGGAAGCAAGAGGAAACTCAGTTCTACGCTTACAGCCTCTGCGCATTGAGTGTACTGCAACTTTTTTGATGATTTAAATCAGACTATTGACTATCATTCAAGACTTGCAATTATGTGACTTTGCTTGCGACACAAATACACTGCATACCTTTTCATAAGATGTATCATCATATGGATTTCAAAGTACACCACTCAGGTGACAGACACGAGTCGTGGTAATGGTTGATTTTATTGCATTGTGTGATATGAGAAGAGTTCTTTTGCTCGTGCTTGCGGCAATTAAATAATCGCCAACTAACAGTACTTTTTCGCTAGTAAATATTATTTTCATGGGCTGTTACCCACTACCTAATTACAGTGATTGATGTTGAGAGTACAAATGAGAGGAAACTCATCATATTTCTAGGAAATGAAGTTACGAGGTCAATGAGTATGACTCGACATCAGAGACTACCAGAGTTGGACAATGCATGAATCGCAGTTACCCTTGCAATAGAATTTGGAGGAACTTGGGTATCCTTTGAGTGTTGCTGGGTCTCTTATTCTTCATGCTAGCAACGAATGGGAGCCTTCAAATTCACGCGCAAAAATCCATCCAAATCATTCAGGGTTTGCACGCATGAAGTTGAAGGCCTCCAACCGTTTCCTAGTTAAATCTCTTCTCACGTTGAAGCACATCCACTACGGTCACTATCTGGTGACCATGGAAACCTCTATTTTTGCACGGGTATCATGGAGTTGCTTGCGAAGATGCGACCCACTTTGGTGAAAGTGCCCTTACTGTACAGTGCCTAATGTCACATGAGATCCAACTCTCCACTACCGTAGGGAAGTAAACTGACAAAACCATCAGAGTTTCCACAATGGAATAGAGCTGAATTCAAGCATCTTCACAATGTTCAAAAGTTTACCTAGTGCGTGGCAATCAAACACAGAGCGGGCCGTGGAGAGACTAGACACGACCAATGCCGTCGACAAGCATATCCAGCAATGGACCTATCTAGTTCCTGCACAGCCCCTTCTGCACAGTATTGAAGAATCTCACTCGTAATCTATTAGCAGTCAGAAACAAAATACATCTAACACACATATCGAAATGATCGTCTTCTGTAAAGAATCCTAATGGGGTGTGTAATGTACCTGTTTATGCTGAGTTTATATATTGCTCGAAAGGCCATGGCAATCAGTATCTCGAGGAGCAAATAAAGTTATTCTCAATTCTTGAAGTACATGAGTCCATCATGTGTTCGTGTACTGAAGCTGTGAAGAAAAATTGGTGGCGGAGGTGCAGCACGAGAGCGTCAAATGACTCCACTATGGCAGAGATCAGCACACCTGTTCGACAGAATGAGGACATTCTGTGATCATGGAGGGTCCCACTCATTTTGAAGCTCGTTGCTGAGTGTATGTAATTCCATCGATTTCAATCGGGTGGTTCAAGTTTGAAGAGAATCGTGCTACGTGGGAAAAGAAGTTGCTGAGAACTCGCCGCATTACGCGGTCCCCTCAACTGCCGATGATGCCATCGCTGAAAATTGGGTTCTCGACATGAAAAATTTGTAACAATAATGCGTGTTGTTGCACTAAGTTGAATGTGCAAACTCGCTGGAAATCAGAAATTTGAAAAAGGAAATGGAACTTGGAAGAAAACCTAGCCTGAAATTCTAGCGACGCGGTCATCATTCATAGGGCAGGAGTACCCATCTGAAAGTATATCCTCGCGACCATTGGTTGCCGGGAATTCTGTCTCGGTTTGCAGTTGGAAGCCCGCCCAGGTGAAGCCTAACCTGATTCTGAACAGAGTTCTCGTTATCTTGTTGCTAAGCTTTTTGTAGTTGCTTGTCTGTGATGAGAGGATGAATTCCCCGAGATCATAGTCACCAGTTCACCCAATTTCGTAGATTGTGGGGATGTCCACCATGTTGTTATGCTGCGGGGTATCGCGTACCCTCGCAACGTCAACTTCCCCCTCTGCTCTTCTAGTCGCAGGATCCAATTCAAGCACCTCTCCCGATGCATCTAAACTCGTACCCAGCAGAGATTTGCATCTAGGATTTCACAATGAGGCTCCTACATCGCGAGGAGCTTTCGTTGCAGCACCGCTGCGTCTCGATGGTTTTGGTAGAAATCATACCAGGACCTGTAAAGGTGGGTGGTCTGCTTTCTGTTGCTGAAAATATTGATATTGAAGCTGGTTGTTCTTTTCCTGTAAAATTTGTGTTCTGTGGTGCCGTTTTATGCAAGTTTTGATGGGTATCAATTGTGGTTTGAATGGTCTTACATTGTATGGAGTTTTCTCCAATGTGCTTGCTGTCAGTTGGGTGTGACGTGTACGTGAATTTCTGAGTCGGCGCAGGAGAATTTGTTACAGAGGGTTGCATTTGCTTGCTTGACTATAAGCTATATGAGGACATCGTATAGCGATTTTCAGTCACCTGATAAACTTAGATTTGAGTCGGGTGAAATGGTGGTACTCTTGAGATGCAGGGGCTGCGAATCGTCTGCATCTCGTGATATTTCGTGTGGGATTCAGATTGTTGTCAGGCCGAGAATGCAAAAATTTTAAGCGACACTTACTATTCGCTTGAATGCACCAGCTCAGTGAATCGCATTGTTTTGGTGTTTTGCAGGAAACCGACTAACAGCAATTTGCGCGTTGACGCCCAATAATTCTAGTTTAAGTACGAGCAGAATTCCTGATACCCGTTTTTACAAGGTTTTGTTTGGAGCATCTGTAGCCGCTCGGGTTGTGCTTGCTTTTAGTAATTCGTCGACAAACAGCGACCACGTCCATGATCACCAACATTTGCATGCTTCAAAGTAATGATCTCTCTCCATTTTCATTGATGGACTCTGGTCTTATTCATGTCAAATGACTAGGATTCCAACAGCTGTTGGTTGTGGCTCTTCTAAGAATGTTTCAGAGAAAAACTTAATCACCCCAATTTGACTTGGTTGGATTTGATCTGTATCTTGGTTTGTTAGACTCTCCTTCCCGCTTTTTATTAAGAGTGCATGTTGTTGGCAGGAAGTAGAAGAGAAAGATCATTGTCATGGGTCGTGTGATCATGATCACTCCCATCCACATTCCCATTCTCACTCCCACTCTCATTCTCATTCCCACTCCCATTCCCATTCTCACTCTCATTTGGAGCCCCACGAAGAACACCACACACATTCGCACTGTTGTAAACATAATCACGGACATTCGACCACCTTGAATGCTGTACAGAGGTTGATAAAGAGGGCAGCAGAAGTGCTTGGAATCGCTGGATTAGCGAAGGCATGGGGAGACAACATCACTGTTGTTTGTGCTTCAACAGCTCTTTTGTTGCTGGAAGCTATTGCTCCGTTGGTTTTTCCCCAGGCTGCCTCCTACCAAAATCTTCTTGTATATTCCGCTATTCCACTTATAGGGGTATGCTATTCTTGACTGCTAGCTCTAATATTTCGCTTGCATATTTATTTGTATTTTGCAATTTTCTGTAGCAAGAAATCTGCTATTGTTTAATAATTTTGACAATTTGATGATCATGTCGTTAATGCTGACTGGCATGAAGTGTCGTACATCCAAGTTGATGACAGGTTTGGTCTACAGGTTTGTTGGCTATTAGAAGGGTTGAACGGTGTGGTTAAATAATGTAACTTCAGGGTACGTTTAATGTTGAAGCAATTCAGTGGCTGTAAAAAGTGTCTTGTCAGTCCGGCTTTGCTCACTTCTTACAGTTTTTTTTATTTTTTATTTTTATTTTTTTTGAGAATTTGTGGCGTTGAATATTTCTTATGGCAGGTGCCAGCTTTGTTAGATGCTATTATTGATGTAGCAGGAGGGAATGTCAATATCCATGTCCTTATAGCGTTCGCAGCTTTGGCATCAGTATTCATGGGAAATGCCTTGGAAGGCGGTCTTCTTCTTGCAATGTTTAGCTTGTCTCACCAAGGTGAGAAATCATACCAATGTTTAGCTTGTCTTCCCTTGGTATGATTCCTGTCTCAGAGCCAGTTTATATGATTTAAGATTTAATGTTATGTGTAAATTAATCACATAACTGCCATTTTGACTTTCAGTTTTTTGTGAAAATGTAGTACAGAAAGCTGAGACATTGGTTACAATGCATCTGGTTCTGACGGTCAATTTCTATGTCCCCAGCGGAGCACTATTTCACAGAGGAGGCAATGGGTGATGTTAAGACACTGAAAGACAGAAATCCAGAGTCTGCTCTGGTTTTGGATGAATTTGATCAGAGTAAACCTCCTCCTCTTTCATCAGTCCCTTCCAAAGAGGTGGCTGTGAAAGATGTTGCTGTAGGTTCCTATGTGTTGGTTAAAGCTGGTGAGGTGTGTTCCATCGAAGCCCACATGCTCTTAACTCAATTTCAGATAGGATTCTAATTTTGGTAGGTGGCTTTTAATTCTGTGATTGTGACGAGTCCTTCCACAGGTGAGGAATGAAGCGTTCACTTCTTTGTTATAGAATGCGGTTCTAATTAATGAAATGTAACTTCTACTTATATTCTAGTGGGTTTGATACTTATTTAGTTGTTGCATTCGTTAAGTTTAGCATCAAATGTGAGTTATATGTATATGTTGTATAAAAGTTTAAAATTTATGTTGTGCAGGTAGTCCCAGTGGATGGAGATGTGTATGATGGAAAGGCAACTGTGACAGTAGATCATCTAACAGGAGAGGCCACTCCCATTGAGAAGCAAGCAGGTGATTTCATTCCCGGTGGTGCCCGCAACTTGGATGGAATCATGATTGTTAAGGTATTTACAGCCTGTTTCTCGTAGTTGATTCGTTTAAGCATAGGTTCTTCAGTTTGTTCGAAGCCAACATGACTACATTGCTATCTGTATTTTTGATCCTACTGGGCAGAAAATTATGGACTACACTATCTTGTTGCAAATTTCCTTTAATTCATGATTTTATCCTTCCGTAGACAACAAAGGTGTGGTCGGAGTCAACAGTGGCTCGAATAATGGAATTGACGAGGGAGGTACAATCAAGTAGGCCAAAGCTGGAGCGGTGGCTTGATGAATTTACTGAAGTATACAGTCAATTGGTGGTCGTCATGTCTGTGGCCGTTGCTCTGCTTGGACCTCTTTTATTCAAGTGGCCTTTTATGAGCTCTCAAGGTGTGTTTCTGCGTGGATGCTTTAGTAATACTGAGCTCATTTTCGGCTGATGTTTCATGATTAAGGGCTTTTGAGCCCTAATGTGAACTTTAGAGTATTTTCCAGATACACACATGCATCCATACATTCAAGTGTTTCAGAAAGCGTCAAATGTAATCAGCAGTGGGTTCCTACTTTTTGATTGCGCTTTCAGGTGTTCGAGGTTCTCTTTATCGGGCGTTAGGCCTGATGGTATCTGCTTCACCCTGTGCTTTAGCAGTCGCCCCTCTTGCATATGCGACTGTCGTTAGCGCCTGCGCTAATAAGGTAACAATCTGTAACCTCTGTTCCTTTTTTCCTTTGCATTGACGGAGGACCTTTTGCCGTTCAGTTACTCAAGTCCTTTGGAAGACTCTCTTGTTTTTCTAGTTACAGTAATTTGTGATAGGCTTGCTCAAAAGTTATGTGCACAGATGTTTGTTATTTGAGGATCAAATCCATCTGCCTTAATAAATTCATTTCGCTTATGTCATAGGGTATTCTTTTGAAAGGAGGAGAGGTGTTTGACGCATTATCAGCATGTAATACCGTAGCATTTGACAAAACTGGAACCCTTACTACTGGAGAACTTCGATGCAAGGCAATAGAGCCGCTGCATGGTCATCACTTGTCATCAGATACATGTTGTACCCCCTCTTGTGAAGGAGAAGCACTAGCAATTGCAGCTGCAATGGAGAGAGGGGCTACGCATCCCATTGCACGGTACCTTACAAGTATTGACATGCAAAGTCATGAACACTAGTGCTTCTATCAACAAGAATCATGTAATCGATGCGCTTTGAGAACCTTCAATGAATAAAGTTGCCGCTGTGTAGGGTTGACTAATAGTTATTGATGTCGAGAATTGAGCATCTTAAGATAGTGAAACTCAAATCAGCTTGATATGGCTTGACACAGGGCTGTCGTAGAGCATTCTCAAGGAAAGAGCCTTCCAGGAGTTGAGGTTGACGACTTCGAATCTATTCCTGGGCAAGGACTAGCAGCTGTTGTGAGCACAGAGGTAAAACTTGAAGTATTGCATCATTTTAGCCGATATGTGTTCATCTCTTGTGCAACAAGATTTCTACCTGAGAACTTCAGGTGTCCAGCTTCACCTGTGGTTACCAGTGCCGGACAAGTTGTTCTAGTAGTGTTCTCGGCTACAGTTTCTCATTGTCTGGTGTTGTGGCCAGGTGGGAGTGAAGGCAAGTCAGAAGGCACGCTTGGGCTCCGTGGAATATGTGGCATCTTCACAATCAAGCTCTTGGGAGGCTGCAAAGATAAGGGAAGCTGCTGGCAACTCTGTGTACAGTAAGGAGCTGGTCCAGGCTGCGCTCTCTGTGGATAGAAAGGCAAAATCGTTTGTGAAGTGGCCTATGATGTATCTCGTATTTGTAGGTGAGAAACCAGGCGATTAAATAAATATTTCTATAGACTTTTATTCAGATCCTCTGGTGAGATCAGAGTTAAGATAGTAGTTCCATCCACGTGGTATGCACGATCTCATAAATACCTACTCATCGATTAAGGAATTTTAGCAAGACTCCTTTATGAAATACTTACCTTTTGTCTTAATGTTTACTTGGTTTTCCACAATTTGTGCTACGTTTTCGCAAATTTGTACCTACTAATTACGTACTTTTGAACACTCCGCAGATTACTCTGTTTCATTTTGAGGATGAATTGAGGAAGAATGCAGCTGCTGTAGTGAACTGTTTGAAGCGTCAGTGTGGTCTACGCGTATTAATGTTGACTGGAGATAATGCAACGGCCGCAGAAAGAGTGGTAAATCTAGTGGAAATTGATGAGTTTCATGCGGGAGTGAAGCCAGAAGACAAGCTTTCTCGAGTGAAGCGTTTGACACAGGAAAAAGATACATCGTAGCTGAAGAAAGTGTTGCATAAGCTGGCCTTGAATCGGAGTATGCATCGATACATCATATCCTCATTTAATACATTGCTGTGAAGTTAGAAACCTGAAGAACCCGATTTTGTGTGGTAATAATATCATATGTGCCTCTGAATCAAGTTGGTAGCTTATGTTGTTTGCGAAATTTAGAATTTACTTTTATGTTGAGCAGACTGCGGGGGTCTCGTTATGGTTGGAGACGGAATCAATGATGATCCCGCGTTAGCGGCTGCAACAGTTGATATTGTGCTCGCAAAAAACGCAAGTGCAACAGCCGTGCAAGTGGCGGATGTACTTCTGCTACAGCACGCAATTGATGGCGTACCCTTCGTCATCGCCAAAGCCCATCAAACGACTTCTTTGGTATGACTTATGGATGCGTGGGTCTAGGCTTCAACAAATCACATGATTTCTTCTTTGCTGTCCTTGGAAAGCACTTTTTAGGTTTATGTTGGTTTTTGCCTTGTAGGTTCTTTGCATTTGTAACTTTCCCCAAAAACAAATTCGCCAGTCTTCCTGCGTCGCATATAATTATGTTGATATTAAGTTTCAGCAAAATAACATTCCTCTATTTAAGTGGACTGTGCAAAAATATTGATTATGATTGAAAGCTACTAGTTAGTGTGTTTCTCAACAATTGATTTTGTATGTTGCCATTGCAGATTAAGCAAAGCGTTGCCCTTGCACTACTTTCTATATTCCTGGCTGGTCTGCCCTCTGTTTTAGGAGTATTACCTCTTTGGCTTACGGTAAGCTCTCCCCCCAAGCTCATGCAAGTTTTCGCTATAATTCAAGTTGAATGTACACTTACTCCTATCTGTGTATGCCTGGATGCAGGTACTGTTGCATGAAGGCGGCACATTACTTGTATGTGCGAATTCTGTGAGAGCATTGAAGAATCCTTCATCCTCGCTAAATCCCTGGAAACCGCTGAAAGGACTCTCGTCGTTGACAACATACTTCAAAGAAAGCAAATCTTCTATACCGAATATCCAATCTGCCGGACAGATTCCCACTTAATGTATTGGCGATTCTGGGATTCTACTGATTAGATCGTATGTTAATCTTAGACTCACGGCAGGTAATATAATGTTGATAGTGTCCAACTCCTGTAATGCTACTGTAGATTATTATCGTTGCATTTTTGTGCTATTGTTTTCATCAAATCAGGCCTGTAGCTGTCCACGAGACTTGGGGTTATAAACTGCTCACTTTGTGAAGATTGCACGGAATTTACTTGCGTGGGTTGAGGCTCCAAGCCTTTAAACTTCACCATTGCAATTGTAAAATAAGGCTTATGTGTCTTAAAGGCTTGGAAATTGGTCTCGAGTGTGTTGAAGTGAGTGAATGAGGGCCTTCATCTTGAAATCTGTTAGACCATGGCGCGACAGGCATGCATTCGTAATTATAACCTGAAATCCAGAATGAGCACAGTAAATGTTATCAAATGCTTTTGAATACTATATTCAAGACAAGTTAATGTGCAATTTGCGTTATTGCAGAAACGGCACTCCTAGTGCAGTTGCTAATGTTGTTGCGAGAACAGTCGAGAGCATCTTCCAGTTATTCACTAATTCCTTACTTAGTACAATCACTAAGTAAGACTGGTGGTACTAAAGTAAAATGCTGGCAACAATCTGGGTCTTAGTCAATACCCACTGTAACAAACTTTCCACGAGCTAAGGTTGAATACTTCCGATTGCAGGCATTGAGCCGAACTGGAACAGTCTCGTCTCACTTGTGATCAACGAGGTCAGAGTGACTGAAGTATCGACGAACTCGGCGTCACTATTAATAAACAGATACTTCCTGAATTAGTTCTACATTATCATAGAAACCGGAAACCTAGGGACTGCAAAAGGTCTGGTCGCAGTAACCAGAGGATTGTATAGCTCTGCTAAGCCCAGATACTCTCAACTGTTGAACGCCATCTCGGCCACGTTTCGACGCAAGTGAGCCAAACCCACAGTGACTGACATATGTCACACGAGCACTGCTTCTACAAAGCCTCTGACCGCCTCAACGAACAGCACCTGGCCACGCACTCAGACCTAGTCTCGATGGGGTCGGACCCAGTGGAATGCGGGCCTCCACACTTCAACAATGCACACCGAGCCCGCCTCTCGAAATGCCCTCTGGGTTACAGTCTATGACCGTGAATTTCGCACCAGTGCTGCAGTTGCGTGCGCCGATCAATTCTGCCTGTGGTGAAGTAAGGGGGTCTCCTTTCGGCACACCTCGTCGTGACTTGAGAAAATCCTGCCGGAGTCGCATACCGACTTGTCGGTTTTTCGTGGTGATCCATCCAAATACTTAGAGCCTGCAGTTGGGTCTGATTTTGACGAAGGGTTTGGCAGAATTTTGTATGAATTAGGTCCTGTTGTGTTCATGAGATTTTGAGTGTTGATGGTGGAATTGGTTTACGTGGAATTGGAGGAGTCATAATCATTGTATGTGAAGGTTGTAGAATTTGAGGGGATGGTATTGCTCTAGAGGGAGCTGCAGTCAGTTTTCAGCCAGTGGAGCGAAAGGACTTGAGCATCTCTAGAGTTTGGTGACTATCCTATTGTCGTTGCAGCGATCGCTAGTTTTGAGCGCTACTACTTTGTGGAATTTCCGTTACCATGATGAGAGGGCCATATTCGGGGTATGGTTTCCGAGGATACGATCCCCGCGGAGTTTACAGACCGCGAGACCCTCGAGAGTTCGAGCATCATCGCCACTCGGCGCCGTCACCCTGGATTCCTGCAACGATTCTTGGGGTGGTTTTGCTCATCACCGGTATGCCATACTTAAAGAGTCCTCCGGAACCCCCCATTGCGTACCAGACAGTTATGCGAACGACGTCCAGCTTCCCTCTTCCCCTGCTGTGGATACCCGTGATTGCTTTCCTCGCTTTGCAATTTTTTGGTGGCCATTGGTACCATGGCTATGGTGACGACGGCTACGGTCGACCCGGAATTCGAGGCTATGGCGCATATGGTGCCGCCCCAGATGCGTATCGTAGCAGAGGCGTGGGGCCGTATAGAATGCGTGCCGAGCGTTACCAGGGGTGGGGTGGATGGTGGCCGTGGTCTTCTCCTTCGTGGAACACGAATTACTATGGGTACAACAATCACCAGCAGCGGGGGTTAATGTCCACGTTTATGGATTACGGTGGTCACTGGTTCCTCATCTTGCTTGGAATCGCAGTGTTCACGCTTGTTGGATCCAGTTCTCTTCCCACCCCTCCTGCCGTGCTTCCCATTCCTCCTCTTGCTCCACGGACACTTGGCTTTCCCTGGAATCTGTTCTTCTGAGAATAAAACACCTTGCCGAACTCATATACAGTTGATCAACCGGTTGAAATCCCAAGGAAATGTAGCCCACGATGGGATCCTCGTCTCGAACAAGCGTATTGGTGGTAATTCATTGGTGTCCTTAGTGTCGGGGGTTGTGGGTTTCTGCGTTACTTGAACAATACATATTATGGTCAAGCTCCTAATAGAGCTGTTTAAGGAATTAGGGCCTCACTGAATGTGTTCGTGTGACCACCTTTCTAGACTACAGAGGGAGGGTGTGAACCGCCATCTTATAGCTTGGACTCTGTGTGATAAACTGGATGGATTTCAGAGTGGTTGGATGACGGAGGCGTGGAGCTCGCAATCGAACTCTGGAGTCGTCGTTTTTGTAGTGACTTAGTAGGTGCATCGACTGCAGAGGTGATTGATTCTAAAACATTGATCTGTCTGACCATTTCCGTCAGCATTGTATAATGAGGCCCGATGTATACTAGAATGTGTGATGCATTCATTTTTTACTAGCTTGACACATCTTTTTAAATTTATCTCCCTGTGTCCAAGGATTGCAATCCTTGGACGCAGAATCCATATTGAATTACTGGTATACTTGGAGGTTGTCAAGCTCGTTCATAAGTTTTATTAGGGACACCCTAGTACTGATGTGTAGATTAGGCAACCAAATTTGAGATGTGTCATAACAAAGGTGTCGTTTGAATGAGAATGTCTCATCTTAGCACGTCTTGTTTCCAACTAGAAGGGCTTTCCCTTTGTCTACAGTGCTGGAGTACAGTGAATATTAAGGGAAATCTACATCTGTAGAAGGGTTGCTCTCGATGCAAGATTTTTCCACCAACTGCCCCACGGACCTTTGGTAAGCATCACTTGTATCATGGTAGCAACTGCAAGTTAATGCTTGTGACCTTGCACATCACTGAATCTCCGACGTCCAAAATGATATGTGTTTGTTTTTCTTCTAAATCACCTCAGAACTTTCTTCACCGAATATGCACAAGTACATGCTCCTGTCCATTGAGTATATGTATGCACTTCATAAACTCCCCATAAAGCTTGAACGCTTTGAATATACAGATCTCCGATGAATGCAAAGAGCTCATTCGGTAGAGTCTCTCCAGACATGGGTACACGTTCTACAAAATCCTCAATTATAATTAACACAGTAGAAGCAGGTAGGGACAATAACGCTCCCACATCGATGACATATTGTTTGAAAACCACGCCCTTTTGACCGGATTGAAATAGATTTTGTGGAACTGACTGTCTATACATGACCAATCAGCATCCTTATAATAATGCAAACGGAACTCCCGAGGAGTTTAACTCCCAAAACTGCCTTCAACCTTCCAAAAATCATTTATTCTGCGACTTGCTTGTAGTAGTGATGCACATGTTTTTCTAAGTCATCAACTACCAGTGGTGGCATACTCTACATGGAGGAAAAGGAAAGAAAAGGAAAAAAAAAACAAAACAAAACAAGAAACAAAGTTTGTGGTCCCTCTTATCTGCCCATCCTTACCAAAAACCTATAGTGGACCATTTCTATTGTAGGCTTGTACACACGCCACTTGAGATCAGCGTTCGGAATCTTGTCCGCTTCATTGCTAAGTTCAAGATACACCGCCAAATACCGACATTCAAATGACTTTGATTCGTTGTACCTCTGGTGTGAAGTCCATATTTTCTAAAGCAAACCGCGTTAGTACGACGTCCAAGCAAAGTCTACAGAGCTTCACCAAAATTTGGCAAAGGGTGAGACCCTCATCGTAGTTATAATCACACAATGTATAAAACTCTGGGCGTGAACTTGCTTACTTGTAGGGCGATTGAAAGCGTAGCTTTACATTTCCCATATTCGATCACTATGATGATGCCCTTGTTGGTCATGATTCCGGTTGCAGCCCAGCCTCTCAGCACATCGTAATTTTGCAATCTCCTGCCAAGTCCTCCGAAAACTGATCTGCATGTTGGTGGGCAAAGATCTTCGTAGCCTGAGATCATGAAACTTGTTTGATTTTTAGTTTTTTTATACTCCTTTTGTGTTTGAATTGAATGAGCAAGATTATATGGCAGGAGCTTGCGTTTCAAGGCACCTGTGTGAGTGGTGAGAAGCTCACCACTCACACAGGTAATGTATGATATTAGCTTTTGTCTAATAGGTGGAACTTCTCTCTTTTAATGTTTTCTATCTAACTTTGTTGCATTCAATCTAGCAAAGTTACATTGTCTTCTTAATTTTAGATATTGGTTAGAAACCTTTTCTAAATATGTTATCATTATATTATTGTATATAATCCAAAATCATTTACCACCTATTAAAAGTCATTTATATTTTATTTTTTATATCCTTGATATAGATTACATTGAAGAAATAAGAAATTTCAATACTTAATATTAACAAGGTTGCATACAAAGAAAAGTATAGATTACTCTCACTTCCAACATCCTTTACTTATAAAGAGAGAGATTATATTTGATATAGATGAATTTCATTTATAATCATCTTCATCCTATTTTGCTTCAATATTTTTTCTTATAAAATGATGTTGAAACATCAATATACTTGGTTCTTAAATGGTGTTTTGGATTTTTGAAAAATATAAGACATTATTGATTGTCACATATAATTAAAATTGCCTCTAATTGCACAAGACCAATATATTCTAAGAATTGTTTTTATTAAAATTACTTGTATTACTAAATGGCCCACTGCCATATTTTAGCATCTATGATTGATCTTGCAAAAGTTGATTGTTTCTTGTAATTCCATATGATAGCTTTCTATTCTAATAAAGAACATATACATTATTTTGGATCTTCTATTATTTGTATCTCTAGTCGAATCTACATCATAATAACCTTGCATATAAATGATTTTTTTATCACAAATAAAAAATCTAAATTTATTTGTGTTTTTTTCATACCTCATAATTCTCTTAACTATTATCAAATGCCTAGACTGTTTTGGCTTATAACATTTATATTAAATGTAAGATCCAATATAATGGCTACTATAGCATACA